CAAATAATGTCCTCCTGGAGATCATACTGACAAAAAGAATGTGCTGTCCAAGCTGGATGGGCTGAGAGGGGGAAGACAAGGATGGGATGTACCAGGATGCTTCTGGATGGAAGCTAGTAGGAATCCCTGGTAAAGAAATGTAGCCATGGTCCCTAGCAAAGGGCAGAAGTGAGATGGTTGATGTAGAGGTGGCCATATCAGAAGAATTCACAAAATGAGCATCTGTTGGAATGAGTGCTGTAGAAACATGTGGAGTGTGAGGATCTTTCCAAATTTTGGAAGGCAGGATCACATGGCTGAGCACTATAAGTGAGTGTGGGAATGGTGTCAGTATCTGCAGAAATGGGGGAGATACATTGAAAACTGGAATGCTGTACATTGGTGCTAAGAATTTTTATAGGTGCTTAACTCACTTCCTTCTCTTTTCTTTGGCACTGATGACCCAATTCTTGTGTGACAGATGACTGCCAATGTCCATGGCTGTCTTTCTTCACATTAGGGCTCTAGTCTTTCATCTCCATTCATCAGCAATATCCATGTCCATGTCACCAAACACCTTTGGTGTGTGACATCAATCTCACAAAGACTGGTAATACAATTGGTAAGAATAGTATTAGTAAAGCATGACAAAGATGACTGGAGACTGGGACAGAGACCAGGGTGGACTGGGGACAAGACTAGGGCAGGCTCAACCAAAATGACACTTCATAGTAGCACTGCCAAGCAGTGCCACCCATGCTAGACCAACAGGAGATGGAGGTTTGGCAATGCTGAGGCTGGACTGAGTGAGTGTGAGGCCAAGCCTGGCCAGGGTCAAGGCATGGCTATGACATGATGGTCTGGGAGGACAACAGCAGCCATCTGCTGATAGACAGTAACTTTGCTGTCACCACTTGTTTTCTGTCTCCTGGGACTGTGTGAGGAGACATAAGTGTGCCAGGAGGTGTCATGACACACCTCACCCTTCTTCCACTTCCTCAGAAGAACAATCCTATTTGCACTCTGCTTGATTTCCTCCAGGAGTTTCCATACCATATCCTTGGTCCAAACAACATCTGGGATGGAAACTGGGGGTATCTTCTTAGTATGAGCCATGGGTGGCTCTGAAAGGACCTACCAGCTTGGCTCAGGACAAGAACAAGAGGCTGCAGGAGTCAGTGGTACAGAAAGATGATCAGCATGAGTCCCACAATCCACACACCAGTACATAATATGTATTATATAACACTTATCTACAGGGAGGTTGCAGTGCAGTGCATCTGGTGCATCACATGGTGCAAACACTGCTCAACTTTGAGCAGGCCTAATGTATGTGAGTAAACACAAGTGTTCTCAACTTCAACCATTCAAATCAGTGAAGAAATGGCAGAGATATCCATTTGCATGTGACAAGCACCAACATCACACTGATGCTAGGCATGTTGCAGTGGAGATTGAATAACCCAGACATGCTACTCTTAATGTTGTGATCATGTACAGACTTTATTGGCCTTCTGGCTCCATCAACAGTTTGTTTGCTGGAAACATCTGAGAATAAAAACTCCATAGAGTGAAAATATCCACTTACACATGCGATACTTGATGATTATTTTGACAATAGCTTCACATAAACCATGCATATCACCATTATGGTCAAGAAAAGCTGCCTGGACAGCTTTTGAAATGGCAGTCTGCATATTGGAGCTATTGTATTTCTCCACAGCCAATGACAAAACCTCCTGCCAAAGATGGTGCTGATGCTGCATTAAAAAGTAAGAGTACTCAGCAACAAGCAAGCATCCTAGGACAGTGAGTATATCTTGTGTGGGCAATGGGAAACACTTACCAATTGCATGTTCAGCCATTGACTGGAGAGTTGGCAATTTCCCCAACAAAGTGACATCCTTGGGCAGAGCTGGCATTTGGATGGCAGTATTGACTTCAAATTTTGACTGTGGTTTTAAATGTTTGCCTTAGACAAAGGGAGGTAGGAAGCCAATGCTTACAAGCTAAGAATTGTAATAGCACATGTGTGACAAATATGGTCACAGGATTTGTGGATGAGAAATGTAGCCAGTTATGGCATCTGTATGGCACACACCTCCTGCCAAAGAAGAGGTCACATGAAGGGCACCACACAATCATGATCAGCCTATGCACTCAAACAACCATGCAATCACTCACATTCTGCCATATAAGGTGATTTAGGAAATGGATAAAATATAGCAAAGACTGGGGGTAACATGGCAGAATCACCTACCAGCTACAGGTCAAATGGAACCCAAAGGATGGAAGTCAAGGGAATCAAGCAAGACCCAACATTGGACTGAATTCACACACATTCTGCATACCATCAACATGAACAATGGAAGGATGCCACTGAGCAAACATCCAACTAAACACATCACAAATGCACTCACATCCTGTCATGCCACAACATCAAGAGGCACAAGTGAAGCCATTGAGCAGACATCCAGCTAAACATGCCATGAAATCACTCACCCCCTGTCATGCCACCAACATCAAGAGTGCAAGTGAGGCCATTGAGCAGACATCCAGCTAAACATGCCATGAAATCACTCACATACTGTCATGCCACCAACATCAAGAGTGCACAAGTGAGGCCATTGAGCAGACATCCAGCTAAACATGCCATGAAATCACTCACCCACTGTCATGCCACCAACATCAAGAGTGCAAGTGAGGCCATTGAGCAGACATCCAGCTAAACATGCCATGAAATCACTCACATCCTGTCATGCCACCAACATCAAGAGTGCAAGTGAGGCCATTGAGCAGACATCCAGCTAAACATGCCATGAAATCACTCACATACTGTCATGCCACCAACATCAAGAGTGCAAGTGAGGCCATTGAGCAGACATCCAGCTAAACATGCCATGAAATCACTCACATCCTGTCATGCCACCAACATCAAGAGTGCAAGTGAGGCCATTGAGCAGACATCCAGCTAAACATGCCATGAAATCACTCACCAGACTGTCATGCCACCAACAGTCAAGAGTGCAAGTGAGGCCATTGAGCAGACATCCAGCTAAACATGCCATGAAATCACTCACATACTGTCATGCCACCAACATCAAGAGTGCAAGTGAGGCCATTGAGCAGACATCCAGCTAAACATGCCATGAAATCACTCACCAGCTGTCATGCCACCAACATCAAGAGTGCAAGTGAGGCCATTGAGCAGACATCCAGCTAAACATGCCATGAAATCACTCACCCGCTGTCATGCCACCAACATCAAGAGTGCAAGTGAGGCCATTGAGCAGACATCCAGCTAAACATGCCATGAAATCACTCACATACTGTCATGCCACCAACATCAAGAGTGCAAGTGAGGCCATTGAGCAGACATCCAGCTAAACATGCCATGAAATCACTCACCCGCTGTCATGCCACCAACATCAAGAGTGCAAGTGAGGCCATTGAGCAGACATCCAGCTAAACATGCCATGAAATCACTCACATACTGTCATGCCACCAACATCAAGAGTGCAAGTGAGGCCATTGAGCAGACATCCAGCTAAACATGCCATGAAATCACTCACCCGCTGTCATGCCACCAACATCAAGAGTGCAAGTGAGGCCATTGAGCAGACATCCAGCTAAACATGCCATGAAATCACTCACATACTGTCATGCCACCAACATCAAGAGTGCAAGTGAGGCCATTGAGCAGACATCCAGCTAAACATGCCATGAAATCACTCACATCCTGTCATGCCACCAACATCAAGAGTGCAAGTGAGGCCATTGAGCAGACATCCAGCTAAACATGCCATGAAATCACTCACAACCTGTCATGCCACCAACATCAAGAGTGCAAGTGAGGCCATTGAGCAGACATCCAGCTAAACATGCCATGAAATCACTCACATCCCTGTCATGCCACCAACATCAAGAGTGCAAGTGAGGTCCATTGAGCAGACATCCAGCTAAACATGCCATGAAATCACTCACAACTGTCATGCCACCAACATCAAGAGTGCAAGTGAGGCCATTGAGCAGACATCCAGCTAAACATGCCATGAAATCACTCACATCCCTGTCATGCCACCAACATCAAGAGTGCAAGTGAGGCCATTGAGCAGACATCCAGCTAAACATGCCATGAAATCACTCACCAACTGTCATGCCACCAACATCAAGAGTGCAAGTGAGGCCATTGAGCAGACATCCAGCTAAACATGCCATGAAATCACTCACATACTGTCATGCCACCAACATCAAGAGTGCAAGTGAGGCCATTGAGCAGACATCCAGCTAAACATGCCATGAAATCACTCACCCTGCTGTCATGCCACCAACATCAAGAGTGCAAGTGAGGCCATTGAGCAGACATCCAGCTAAACATGCCATGAAATCACTCACCCACTGTCATGCCACCAACATCAAGAGTGCAAGTGAGGCCATTGAGCAGACATCCAGCTAAACATGCCATGAAATCACTCACATCCTGTCATGCCACCAACATCAAGAGTGCAAGTGAGGCCATTGAGCAGACATCCAGCTAAACATGCCATGAAATCACTCACCCACTGTCATGCCACCAACATCAAGAGTGCAAGTGAGGCCATTGAGCAGACATCCAGCTAAACATGCCATGAAATCACTCACCCACTGTCATTCCACCAACATCAAGAGTGCAAGTGAGGCCATTGAGCAGACATCCAGCTAAACATGTCATGAAATCACTCACATACTGCCATGTCACCCACATCAAGAGCATGAATGAGCCCAGTCACCAAATCCAGCATGAGCATGCCATTAATTACTCACCCCCTGTTAATATATGCAAGGGAACACAAAATGGGAGCATCATTGACTCAATATGTTAGAAGAATTTGGTCACTTACCTCACAATTTGGAAACCATTTCAGCAGATCATATTCAAGCTCTTTTGGAGCCACCTGCAGTCTTCCCAGAAAACCTAACTCCATCCTGTTTCTCAATGTCCTTCAGAAGATCAGTACCTGTGCCAAAACACACTTGCTTACTTACTTATGCACAGCATATTGAACACATAGTGCAATAGTTGACTGCTGTGTTGATATAAGTAACCTTTGCAAACCTTCCTCATTCAATACATTTGCTGTGCACTGTATCAAAGCACTGCAGTCTGCACTCTCTTGATGCATCTCTGCAACCAGAAATTTCTAGTAGCAATATCTCTGAGTGATGAAATACCCACTCTGAAGTGACACATATCCTTTAGGTGGAAACTTGCACTTGCCAAGCTCATGTTTTATGTATGCAAGCCACTTTTCCAACAATTCCCTTTCCTTTTCCACAATCTTTTCTTGTGCTACTTCCATCTCCCAACCTTCATCTTCAAGTTCTTCAATTGCATCCAGATTCAGGGTATCCACTTTTGTCAACAACACTATCACAGGAACTAGATAGATTGTTAGTTACATGACAGCGAGCTGAGCAAAAGAATTCACCATGTCCTGTGTCACACCCATTGAAGAATTTCAGCTCAGCTGCAGTTACTGTCCTGTGATAGTCTGTCATAGGGATACAAAACCTGCATTCATATGTTTGCTTAGCCCGTAGTTACTCACAATGTATTCCTTACCAGATGGCATGGATTCGTTCATTCACCCTCGGTGTGGCTGCATGGTCAACCACGAAGTCCTTCATCTGGTCAAACTCTTCTGCAGCCCCTGCTTCGAACCCACAAGAATCGTGGAACACAAAGCCTGGGTTACTCTGAAATATGAGTTCATTCTCAATATTATGGTAGCCACGCTGGGAGCATGCAGCGTCAATATGAATTTCCAAAAGTCAATGCGGCATCTCACTGTCAATGTGCCTTGCACGACAGAACCGTCGATCTGAAATTGTTAGCTAGGCTTCACCAACCCTATAGGACTATACCTTGTTTCCTTTCGCATCGAAGATCTCTGGTTTTTCGGTAGAGTTGCAGACTCTTTGGAGGACGGTGGTTTTCCCAGCATTCGCTCTGCCCATGACCAGAACTCGAAAACGTTTAATGTTTTTCATGTATTCTTGAGCCATCTTAGAATCGAGGCGATAAGCTGGTCCAGAAGACGTAGTTGCTGTGACTCTGCATTAGACAATTTACATTTCACGAAGAGCAACAATCTCATACCTTGCGGAGTAGCTTCAATCTGAGGGGGGCATGGACTCGCCGCATCACCAACAAGATCGCTAGGTTCTGTGTCCCCATATCAAGTATGATATATTTCGTAGGCTAGAACAATATCATACCTGCAACCGCAGCTTCAGTTGCAGCAGGAGCTAAATCACCTGGGTCGCTTTGGCGGGCACGATGAGAATCACTGCGAAGCGACTTCAACCACTTTTTGATACGACCAGGAGCCATGTGAACGTAAGATACGATTCTGTGTACTTCAGAGCGTGGAGCTTAAGACGTGCGGAGGATCAGTGTGAAGCCCGTCGTCGTCGCAGCGAGTTGATCGATATCAAGGCGCCTATCTCCTTACACTTACGCATGTGCTTATGTAATTCAGTAACATCGACCTCAGGCGATCATAGCTTCAATTCCTTCTCAAGGCACATATAAAAATCTCTGAGCATGCCTACTATGCTCCAATATCCAACATCCAACAGACTCTGAGAAAAATGGATGTCCAAAACTGCGATGAAATCATGCAAGTGCAGGTTTGCTGTTCACGAAACCTCAAACATCCTATTTTTTTATGCCTCACTCCGTGAATCAGATAAAGGAGTCTACGGATAACATTTCCCTTTACACCACCATTCCTACTTTGATGGACTTACCTCCGTCATCGGTCCTGACTCGAGTCAGGGTAGCGCGACAGCAGGTGAACGGGTGAGTCTTGTTTGCCTTTTGGTCTTCTCCCTAGCGTTGTTGACGATTTGATTTTCTTTGGTGTCGAAAGCGAAATGGATGCTGTCAAAGTCAAAGGTCGCGTGCCGGAAGATGTGGAAGCAGAGCTTGAGAGTCGTGGTATCAAATATTGACCGAGCAACCAGACTGCTCGTTCTACCCCAACCTCGTCTTTCCCTTTGCAATCAGGTTGACTCCTTATCAGAGTTATATTGCTATGCTATGTGTATGGCATCTCATTCGTTGCTCATGCTGCTTCATGTAAAACCTTACAGGTTGAATCATGGAGTGTAGCTTTCTGCTCCCGTTCGACGTATACATGTATATTAATATCGGGGTGTCAGACCGCCTACAAGTCTCCGGTTGTCTCTGTACTACTTAAAGGTAACCTGGCTGACCAGCATGCACTGATGATGCGTACACTACATCATCCACGGCCTAGCTATGCACGAGATATCTCGCCAATCTCCTTATTCAACCCTTTTGTCATTCCCTCAAACCTTGTATGAGGTCAGAGAGGCTTCCCTTGGGCTCGCGCGATCGTACATCCATCGATTGACTATCCAAAATCTGAGCGCCGGAGGATGTTACGGATACGTTTGTCTGATTGGCAGATACCGTCCGAAGCCTTTGCAAGTCAGCGTAGGAGCCGTGCCGGCTACGAGGTTTCCCCCGGAACGCGTCTTCATAAGCAGGAATGAAATTGATGACGTGGTCATAATCCCAATGATCCTCCTCTTCGGATTCGTCAGGAGTTTGGGCCCGCTAGCCGGTGTGCTTCCCCTCCATGCGGTGGTGCCGCGTTTCGCGGTGCGGCTCCATCCAAATAATCTTTCGTCTATCCAAGTCTGGAAAGTGTGAGTCGCATCCGATATTCGCGGAGCCGGTAAGATCCTACCATTGGATGGATAAGAAGGTTTCCTTGTGCATCTACCTGGCCGACACTGCTCTTCCGGCGCCAAACTCCTGGGTCATCGTTACCAGCTGAAGGAGGAGCACTGGCTGGAACTAAAATGCGGAACTTTCTCTTACGTTTGACGAGTGGATAGCTGCGAGGGAAAGGCAAAACTCACTTTGTCGAAATCATCGTAAAGTTTTGGTCCAAATTCGTTGATAACGTCCACAACTTCGTTAGAGAGTCGCATCCTCATTTCTTTTACCCTGTCAAGATCTCGTTGATGCCCAGGACGGAGGGCAAGGATAAGTGGTCTAAGCGACCTGTAAAGATCGGGAGATCAGCCCAGACTTGAAAGCTAGATGAGATATGCACATTACTTGAAAACGTCCATCCCAGCCTCACCGAATTTAAGAGCTGCATAGTTCATAACAGGTAGCGCAAAGGTGACAAGGAGGGGCGCGCATAGTCCGTACACTTAGAGGAGCCTGAATTTTCACGGCGATTGCTATCGCAAGGACTGCGTAAAGCGTGTACAACAGGGGAGCCGCACCAAGGCATATCAGGACTTTCCAGGTCGCAAGCACATCTCGACCTGCGATTTTGACGACGGAAGCTGCGAGTGCCTCTGATATCGTCAAGTCAGTTATTACATCTATCCACGTTCGTCTTTTTCGTACCTTTGGCCTTCCGTCTGGAAATCACGGAGACCAGAACAATCACAGGACCATTCAATATCGTTCCGGGCAGTGCCAGAACTGCCCAAACCATTAAGATGACCAGACGATACAAGAGAAGACTCAAGGTTTTCCAAGTCGCTTTCTTCGCCTGTGGTACCTTGCCGTGGTCCTCAGTCTCACTGAACTACTCAGACCGTGATGTTTGACCTACCTGATGATCTCGCAATCCAAGATCCCGAAGAAGTCGATTGTATTTCAATACATCAGCTTTCAGTTTTTGTATGCGTGGTTCATCCTTGAAATGAGTATAACCTTCCAAGAAACGGCGGTTGAGCTCGACCACCTGTCCCAACGTAAAGTGCTGCCCCGGTGTTTTGTAAAGGCGCCGAGCTGCTTGTATTAACTACGCTACAGGTGTGAGCGGGGAATTGACACTAACGACGAAGCACCGCACCATAAGAGTGTCATAATCGGGTGCCCTTACTGTCACGGTCTTCAGACCGTCGTAAGTGAGATCCAGAAGCTTTGACACTGCTTCACGCTTGCTTGATCCGCCCTGCTTGAACATTTCCACTAATTCTTCCGGTACATCGAGCGCACTTCCGAATTCCACGACGGCTCGCGATCGGAATCGATGGGCATGGAAATAGTACAGACCGACGGGCACGATCTTGACTTTCACACTTGGATCATTCGCCATCGCCCCAAGTGCCATTAAGGATACACCCGCCTTCAGAGGAAGGAGGTCTGTTCTGTCGTGGCTGCCACCTGCAATGCATCGATTAAGTAGGAACGCAGCGCATACTACAAGATCAAAACCTTCAGGAAAAATTCCGATGCAACCGCCTTCCTTCAGTCGTTGGTAGACTCCACGATACATCTCCTGCTGGTCAATGAAAGGTAGAATTTTGAACGGAAGGCCTCTTTTCCCTCCTGCCTCTGTTTCCGCCAACTTCTCTCGTACACAAGCGGTTCCCTTGCCTGTTTCACTTCCAAATTCTCTCTTAAGGCGCAATTCGATGTCTGATACGACCTCGAGAACTTCCGCAACGACCGAGTTCACGGACTTGGGCAGCATAATTTGCATCTTAGGAGAGAATTCTGACTTGAAACTGAGTTCCCTCTCCAAATACTAGGCAGGGGTCATCGGATGAAAGATAAACCAGCCCAGTTCCAGGTTTAGCCTCGTCTATAGCTCGAACCACGGGTACTATACAAGAGTCGGAATGCAGACTGGTCATCGAAGATCTGGAAACGCACTGCAATTGTCCGTTTGTCGGGCAAGGAAACCAACTGCTTTACGCTTCAGGCTCTTGGCAGCAGTCAAGTACTGAACGCGACGGCGTGTTTCTCGGTACACCTCTAGACTTAGGAGGACGCCGTCAAGGAACTAGACATATAACGTCAGTCTATACGGGATGGCAAAGAGCTATACATACTTGGTTGTGGTGGGGTGCAGCGGCAAATATGACCGGTCCATCTCGAGGGATATTGAAGGCACCTCTTGGACGTACTTCCCTGAAGAATATTTGGGCAACTATTCTCCAAAACATCAGCGCAGTTTCGTAAGTAACGGTAGACATATCGGAAGGTGGTATGGTGGTACACAGGAGACGGGCAGCGGAAACAACCCGGAACTTCATGCTAATACAATTGGTTGGGGACAGGCGAACCCCACAGATCTGATGGCAGCTAAGCGCCGTGTGGCCAGAGCGCAGCATTCTTTTGTTCCAGTCCGAGGAGCGGGTTGCCTGAGCTGTGCACAGCCACTGCAATATTGGGCAGACTCTCCAATCAACCCGCTTATGTATTGGCACTTGCAAGTCTCCAATAGTATTCGGCCATGGATCAACTGAAGACCGTAAAGTGACTTACACCATGATTGCCCAGACACTTTTCCAACGTTCTCACACCCTGACACCGTCCACAGGAAACGCAAACTAACCGACAAATCCATTCCCCATGCACTGGCCCAAGTACCCGAATTCGCTCAAGAATCCGAAATGTACCAGAGTCTACTCGAAATGGAACGCAAGCTGGACTGGACGATGACAAGAAAGCGAGTCGAGGTCCAGGATGCGCTGTCCCGCAATCCGACCGTGCGTGTTGCTGTACAATGGAATGACGCGTAGATTTAACTCGTTTTTTTGTATAGACGACGAGGACATTGAGAGTTTTTCTGAGCCATACAGTATCTGGACAATCGTGGCAGGTCGGTGATGCCGAGAGTGAACCAGTGAACTTTGAAACGGGACAAGGCATCCCAGCGTGGTCATTTAAAGTAGAAGGAAGATTGCTAGAGGTTCGTTCGTCCCCACTTCTGGCATGACTGATATGACCCCGTTCTCATCGAAACGATAACAGTTGCCGAACCAGCGGTCTCGAGACAAGGCCGTCCCGAGGAAGTTCTCGACTTTCATTAAGAGGATGATTGTCGAGTTGGACCGCGATCCGAATTTATACCCCGATGGCAATATCCTAGGAGGTAAATTGTCGGTCCTTTTTGTTTCCTGGAAACCCGCTCAATTGAGTTTCCAGTGGCCCCGTGCTCAAGGCGTGCAGCCAGCACTCGATGGCTTCACTATTCGACGGACGGGTGACCAGCCAACCAGGATACGGGTCATCATTCATCTCGAGCAGACCCCGGAACAGTACAAAGTTAGCCCAGAGCTTGGTACGCATCATTGACATGTTCCACTCGTCTGCATACTTGAACAAACGGGTGGCTATTTCAGGAAACGTCCTTGGTATCAAGGAAGAGAGCCGGATAGGAGTCATACAGACTTTGTGGAACTACATTAAAATCCACGGTCTCCAGGACAAAGTCGACCGACGAAGGATAAAAGCCGACGATCATTTGCGTCCTGTAAGCACCCTTATCTCAAGTAAGCTATCCTCTGACTGTGTGGTTAGATCTTCGGCGGTGACACTGTCGTGTTTCAACAACTACCCGAGCTGGTCAACCGCTATCTTATGCCGCCGGACCCAGTTGTTTTGCATTATACGATCAACCCGATGGTTCCGCCTCCCGAGCGTCCGCAGGCTTGGGATATCGAAGTAAAAATGGAGGATACCAGTCTGAAGAGCCCGCATGGCGGTGATGGTACAAGCGATCAAGGACAGCACGCAAGACCTCAGCAAACTCGACGACGAAGTAATGTCCACCACCTCAATCAACATCACCTTTTTCCGCTAAGCTTTGTCACCGCTTTATTTTTGTTCTCTTCCAGATCGCCCTTCTCACTCAATCTCTGCATAATGCACACACGAAACGCGTATTCTTACAAAGCTTTGCGGAAGATCCAACAAAGTTCATTCAAAACTGGCTCGAGTCTCAATCGCGAGACCTAGAGAGCATTCTGGGGAGCGGTCCTAGTGAAGGTGCTACAATTCGTGCGGAGGAGCTTAGACGGAGCGACTTCTTTCGGTTGCCGTGGGTCGAAGAGGCTGTTGCTATACAAGAAGGCATGCGGCTGTCTTCGAAGCAGTAAGGAATGTCGAACGTGCTGTTTTCTGTGTGTGTATTTCCTGTAGCGCTGCGTATTTCCAAATGTAGTATGTCGAGTCGATACACAGTCGCTGGGCTGACTGCGCGCCGTCCAACAACGAACCTGGCATGTCGTTCCGCAAAATCGACATCGACGCCTTTGACGAGGACGTCCTGCAGGAGAGCGAACTGTACGATCCTGATCCACGCGACCCCACCCAAGTCCTCGCAGATGCCAAACAAAAACAGTCGACCGTGCGGAGTACCTTGTCAAGGTATGTCCACACCACATCATCCTCTGGCGATCAGAGGCTAAGTTACGTCGAATATATTAGAGGCGATATATCTGGTGCATTGAACATCGCTCTCGACAGTCCACCGTATGGACCCAACGTCGACGAAGCCAAGGTAAGATTCGTTTGTACATATCACTTCATTGACCTCTTTGCCAATCACTATCATAGAATATCACCCTCCAAACAGTCGTCTCTGTCCTCAACAGCACCAAAGCAACGGAGATCCCAAACGTCCTCAAATCGCTCTCCGAAGACGCCCAAGATACGCTCATGAAGTACATCTACAAGGGTATGGGTATGCCCGGATGGGGAGACGTCAGCGGAAGCGTGCTATTAGCATGGCACGAAAAGGTGCGTGTTTCGCTTTGGCTTCGAACGCGGTCGTTTGGGCCTGTGATATCATTCGTATACTGATGAATTCGCCGTGTAGCTCACAGAAGTAGCGGGAACAGGTTGTATCGTACGAGTGATGTCGGATCGGAGAACGGTGTAAAGTATACAATAGCAGTCTAATACGGGTCTGAAGCCGATCCCGGGAGTAGTGGATTCATTTGTACTAATCACCCCGGATAACAAGGGTGGCAGGATACCCCTTGTCATCTGTCTGCGATATCGAGACGCGCTACGTCCAGATTCAACCTACACATTCCCCTCCAAGCAATATTGCCCTTCCCTCGTGGTCCTCTACTCGGAATGCCTTCGATGCCAGACCGTCGAGCTCGTCCTGTGAAAGTGAGCTCAGCGAGTGCCGGAATTCCTCGACAGCGTTTGCATGTAGCAAACGGACACTTCCAAGCTTGGAAGCCGTCAAAGTAGTAAGTGCATATATGAGCGAATAATAATGAAAGGCAGGGGCCTTTGCCAACTTTGAGTATATGCGAAGGTGGGAGACAGGCGGGAGAACAAGATGTGGTATAAATTCCGTCCATGAACGGAAGTAAATGACGAGTTTGTCGAGGGCTGGACAACACTCGGACAGCAAATCCAACTCTCTTTGCAGGGAGTCCCCCTGGAAACTGAAGTCGAGCGTGACACAGGTGACGGCTGAACAGCTCGACTTGACAAAGCTTTTCCATGCATGCGCGAAGAACGGGGGGGAAATACAGCCGTAGATAAGCTGTCGAAGTGCAGGGAGATGGTTCTTGTTCTTCTCGCGAGGAAGGTAATCCCGTAGGAAAACGGACATTAATGAGATGGATTCGAGGTTTGCCATGACTGGCACATCTAAGCGGCTTCCAGGAGACCTATCTCCAGGCGTAGGGGAGCATACCGGACACCGAAGAACACGTAAGTTGGGGGAACCAGCTAGTAGTAGCATGAGATCCTCTCTGGCGCGAGTTCAATCCTAAGCGAAACGATCAGAGGTATGAATCTCACCTGCAGGGACGCAGAAGAGATTCTGCGCAATCGAAAACGCGCAGCGAGGGTCCGCACGTCTCTACGAGCGACACAATGATCTCCATGGGGAGTTGACGAAGCCAGAAGTCATTGAAGGGCAGTATTGGCATCGACAACGTCACGATAGAGAGGTTCGAGAAATACCGGAACACGTCTACGAGAACCCCATAGTCGGCAGTCTCACACTGGTCGGGTGGGATAACCACGTCGAGCCTCCTCGTCCACCAGCCAGGGTTAGTGTGAAACATTCCCACAGCCCGCGCTCGTCCCTGCAGCGCTTCGTGGAGCGTCAAAAGCGATTGGACTCGTGTGACGAGGACGCTTTGGTACAAGAACTCAGTGGCAAGCTCGCCCCAGGTTTTGCACACAAGCACTAAACGGAGTTTAGTGACGAGTGACTCCCTCAGGAGTTGCAACTCTTGTTCTCTGGCGAGCACAGTCGGCAAATCTGATTGCGACGGACTGCAGTCCAGTAATCTTGGAGTGTCCGTGGCGAAGTGGAATATCTTCAGCCATATCTCTGGAGGGAGCATGATGGAGTAGTGGGGTTGGCGGTACCATGGCCTCGGACAACCTTAAGTACCGTATCTGTGGTCATGAGATATGTCTATGCGCTGTCGGTCAGCTATCAGTCCTTCAGGGTCATCCGTTCCCATGCGATCCCCACTGCTTATCGGCGGAAGAATATTTTGAGGATGGGCCGCTAGAAATGAATGTCCCAGGTCATAATTATTATAGGCAGAGCTACCTTGGTAAAAGTTGCACCTCACAGTGAATTCGTAGGGCTCGTTGACCGTTCGAGATGTGTCTAGAGTCTCTGGGTGGCTGTCCTGGCTAGGTTGACCGTTGCGAAGTTGTCGTGTGCAAGGGCTGCGTTAGGATGGGAATCAAAAGCCAAACGCCACGGCTAGTCCCACTCCCCAGTACTTGCCATGTGGAAACAATTTAGAACAGAACACGCTTAGCACCTTCCCTCAACTCTCCTGATAAGACTAACTCTGGCGGCGTGGCACTGAGCGAGTCCAGACTCATTGCTCGTCAACTCAGAATTGGCTTGATTCATGCTGACTCTCACTTCAACGAGTTTGATCCTGATGCTACGTGCTTTTGCTGTTCACCGTAGCTAAAGCTAAATGTATTGTTCTAGTTCCAACCTTCATGGACGCTGTAACTCTGAATTTCTCCCCTTGAAGTATGCTGTGCATCCCATTCCCCTTGAATCGCGGCCCATCTGCGCAACTGACAATCCGAGCGTCGGCATGGCGATTAGCGTGATTCAGCTAGCAGTGTGCCTACTAGCGTCAACACGTCAGCTGCGAGCGTCTCAAATCGTTAGTCTCGGTTCCAGACGGTGTCGGTCTTCGCCCTGCTTGGCTGTGTCAGCACTGTACTCCACAGCGTATGGAGCACGAGCGCGGTAAACAAGGTGCCTGCCGTGCAAAACGACTTTGTTCTAGTTATGTAATGTGCCAAGTAAATCGCACTCCCCTACTACCGTCCAAGGGCAAAAAGAGACTTGGGCGCTATTCGGTGACATGTAACTTGTGCAAGCAGGTCGGCCCGCCGCCTGCTTAAATGTTATACTAACCAGAGGGCAACAGTACTGAAGATCTGCTCCTCAGTCTTCGGGCAGTACATGTTCTGATTGTCTAGACTCAGGTAAGCTGGCCCGTTGGCGTTGACACGAGAGTCCCATGAATCAATCACTGACTATGCTTCCATAGTCTGACCGACAGGATGCGGTTGATCAATGTAGAGACCTTCCTTGAAAGGGAGAGAGAATTTCGCTCAGGAATTTTCAACCCTGAAATCGAGGTTCTGCAGGAGCTCGATGATGCAAGCGCAGGTTACGCCATATTGTCACATCGCTGGACCATTGAGCTGAACTTCAAAGAGATGGTGAAGCTCAGGAGGATGGAAAACAGAGATGAAATTCGACAACGAGATGGTTATCAGAAGATCCTGAAGAGCTGCGAGCAGGCCACAAAAGACGGCTTCAAATGGCTCCGGGTCGATACGTGTTGTATCGACGAGCGAAGCAGTTCAGAACTGTCCGAGGCCATAAATTTGATGTTCCGGTGGTACGAGAACGCGAAACGATGCTGTGCTTACCTCCATGATGTTAACGACTCCCTCCTCCCCCGCGGACGCGACGATGTCATATTTTGCAATTCCAGCGGCTGGCTAGAATGGTTCTCGCGGGGCTGGACGCTGCAGGAGTTGATAGCCCCGAGAGACCTCCAGTTCTTTGATAAGGATTGGGCACCTATCGGGGATAAACGCAGCTTGTCTTGCAAACTCGAGGAAATTACCCGGGTTCCTAGGTCGGTTCTGGTGGATGGCTTATCTTCATATTGTCCCAGCACTGCCCAAGTGATGTCGTGGGCTGCAGATAGGGAGACAACGCGAATCGAGGATCGAGCATACTCGCTGATGGGTCTGTTGGACGTTAACATGCCGATGTTGTATGGGGAGGGGAAGAAAGCATTCCAGCGTCTTCAACTAGAGGTGATCCGCACGTCCAACGACCAGACCCTCTTTGCGTGGAAGCCAGCGGGAAAACTGGCGCGGACCAGTGGCGTCCTAGCTGACGACCCGAGTGCTTTCTGGGATTTCCATGACATCTTCAAGTTGGAGCCAGAGGAGTTTTTCTCAGCGCTCTCCTCTTTGTGGGACGTGGATGCCGAAGGAGCTCTTGCCACCCGAGACGGCCAAGCAGATCCCGGGTTCACCGTCACCAACGCAGGGATCCAGATACGGCTTCCTGTTGTACGCTATTACGGGTGTCCATCAGTCTTTCAAGCAGCGTTGGCGTGCTACAAAAATGATGCTCTGGTCCCAATCACCATTCGATTGGCAGCCTTTAGGTCCAATTACTACAGGTACTTTGGCCCAACTGGGGAGCGACAACCACTCTTGGAGTACCAATTACTTCATCTCGCTTATCGCTACAAGGTATATCACGACTTCACATTCAAAATCGACGATAGGTCCGTTCCCTACTGCGGTTTCACTCGTCGCGCTGTCTACCCGAAGGACGTGACCTTCACAGACAATCTTGTCAGGTTATCAACCATTGACCCTCTCGTTGTTGTACTGTGTTCCAACAGAAAGACCAACACTTATTTTGCAGTTGTGTATGGTCACTGCTTCGGCCAGGGCTGGGTGCATATCGTTTCTGATGAACGAGAAGCTTGGTCTTCTTGGGAGTCCTACGCCTGGAAGGTGTATGATCGCATGCGCAAAGCGAACGCTGTTTACGCCCATCGTATGGCTGAAGTATGCTTTGGCCGGGGACGCAAGCTATTCTACAGCAGACACTGGCATATCCCTAATTCTATACTGGCTGTGGAAGTTGTCTGTGGCAGATGGGGCAAGTCAGTTGGTTTCAAAGTCGACGTTGATGTTGTGCAATGTGTCAGCTGTCGCTGGGACAGGTTCGGATGGAGAGTGGCCTGTGTCAGTTGACGCCGACCCTCGGATGCAGGATGTGCGCGCTGACGTTTTCATAGAGAATCACCGATGGACGTGATACACCTGGCCTTATGGCACGAACCGACTGGCCATGGACCGTTGATCATCGCCGTTTGTTGGTAGATGGGACTCCAGCAGCATTTTATGCTGCCAATGCGTGGAATGGGATCAAGGTACAGTTTTATTTCTGTCTGCCCACTGGAAAGTCGAGCCTAATTCTGGCAGTTAGGCGATTATGGTTACAGTAACCCCAGAGGGTATATCGAACATCGAGGTAACATCTTCGAAGATCTGAGGTTGCTCAATCCAGAGCTGGAATTGATCCTGAAGACCAAGATCTTGGACCTGTTGTGCACGAAGTCGGCAGTGAACGCAGCACCAACATTACGGGTGGTGATGTGCCGACTATATTCATCTCCGACAATGGTCAGCGACCTTTTCAAGCGGATCCTGCGCTCGTTCTGCGTGCACCGGTTGGCCTTTCGCTTCCAAACACTCGGTCTGCTGTCTCTTTACTGAAGGTTCTGTCTACTCGTGCCTCCAACTGTTGTTTGGTAACAATGGTTGTCCAGTCCTCAGCTGTCTTTGCGACCAATAATACTTGTGAAGAAAAGCTCAAGACGGAGATTTCGCAGTTCCCAATCTGGAGGAACCGCTGTAAGTTTTCTGAATCTTGCGATTCTCACGTCCGGAACCACATGCCCCACTAGTGCAATCTCATCCGCGGCCAGTAACGCCATTATACAACATCGGGTACCCCTGCGTTTGGTCTCAAGCGCGTTTCTGTGCCTGCGGGAGCTCAAACCCGGAATTTGAAGAGATCAGGTAGGCTAGTCTCCGATCGTGGGTGGAACTGAGCATCGGTTGACGATATCCCTCCTGAGGAACCATTTCAACTCGATAGCTGGTACAGCCCAAAGGAGTTAGAGGAGCATTGCTATCCAATTCTTCAAGGACATGTTTGGTATTGAGCATATCAAAACCCTTGTATGCATATGACGTTCTTGTTCTCCGCTTCTCTAACCGACATTGCAACACGTCAGGTTGGGGAAATAAATGTTTTCGACCGCCTGATGTCGGATTCGAGAGTGTGTGCACGACCGAACCATACGATATCTGAAGGTAATATCTCTCGGTTAGCACCTTGGTACAAACTCAATACGTGATGACAGGTCCTTCGGCTATTCGGAGAGACCACCGAAATACCTTAAAAGAATCGCCCGCCAAAGATTCTAAGGTGATATTCCTTCAGATGATGGAAGAGTGCAACTTTCGTTGGTGTTCAGCGTTAAAACAAGCAATGCACAGGATGCATCCGATAACGAAGACCCTTGGTCTTGAGGTAAGCATTGCCGATGTCAGTTTTGACCATACATATCAGTTTAACGGTGTTAGCAAACAGTCACTTCAGGGCATAATCGACTCCTTTCTAGCGACAGACCCCCGGACACTATGTGAGTTGTGAGTGCCTGACCTTATTTTCTTTTCCATACGTGGAACTGAGTTTCGATAGAGAACAAAGCTACAATGCGAATGAGAGGTGTGCATAGTGTCGAAAGGGACCTTCGTTTTCATAGATTGAGCTATGCACAGCATACGATCACTGGTGCAAGAGGTGAAGACGTTGCAAAAGGTCCTAGAGACAACGGAGGAGGACGAAGAACGACGCGCCCTCGAGGAGGACATTGTTGGAAGAGTGCGAACAGCAGTAGAATGAATTCTTAATTCATCTGGTGATATCGCAGATTTTGCTGGTTTGTTGGTGCGAGATCTCCTCAGCATTCCTGCAGGCGACAGCAAAGGCAGGCAGTTGTTATTTTACTCACAGAAAAGCCGTCTGATGAAGTGTGCTAGGTCGTACACTACGTCCTGGACTTGGATGTGAAGGCGCAGTGGAGGCTCATGGTAAGCGACTTCTCTTTCGGAAACTTGAAACTTACAAATCACGGGACCATCCACGTGGCTGCTCGTGCTTACGGAGAATCGCAATAGCTTTCCAAGCGATGAATTCTGACACAGCTGACGATAACCAAGCTTGTCTTCGACAGTATGTGTTACGATTCATATGGTTTGGGTAAGACGTATTTTTGCTCCTGGTTCAGGATCCTGGCCAATGCGAAGGGCAAGAATGTCGAAGCATAAGATGTATCTCGCTGTGCGGACATCGCGGAGGTGTCGGACGGGCTCCTGGTGTGAAGAAACCTTGGATAACACATCAGCACAACAGCGACAATACACGTTACTTTGATGTGTAAATAATCACCATCCCTCCAAGGCTCCAAATTCATCCAAGGTTATATACTGTCACATCGCTGTTAGGTTGCAGTTCCACGATTGTGAAGTTCTTCCTACAAGCAATGGGCCACACGGGATGATATAACTGATCGTGGCTGCGAGTGAATGGATATATGGACAGGATCGTCAAGAGAACTGAATCGATAGGGTGGATCGCTGCAATCGGAAGCGAAAGCCTGCAACGCGTGGAATCTGGGTTGTAGAGAGAATCTGTAAGACTAAAGCCCTTTTCTCTTTCTCTTTAGATCCTCGACAAACCCCTCTGCCGGGTTGGACATTCCCGCCTTTCTACCGGCCACAGGAGTTGTATATGTTCCAGTTTTCTGATGCGTGAACAAGGAATCAAAGGTACGGCGGCACAGAAATGCTGAAGTATGGTTATACATGTTAATGCTTCCTCAGATTTCGCGCACAAATGCAACGAATAGGAAGCTATAGAAAATCACCCGATAGATAGTCACATAGCCTCTGGAGGAGTGGAGACACGAGAGCAAAATATATAGAACCTGAGCGAGATACTCTGTGGTCACGTGGACGTGATTGTAACGGCACCAGTCCAGACAAGAGATAGATGGTGCCTGAGAGGCAAGAACCCCTGCCTCCTGCGACAGCATCATTATAACATCATCCATGACAAGCCGAATAGAAGCTTCTACAAACCAGTTCACAGAAGAAACTACATACTGTTAATATCCACACGTCCGAATGCGCCATAGCGGGTATCAGGCCAATGGGATTTCGAGGGACGAACGTTTCGTGCTGGAACAGTCAATGATATATGGGGGTCAGTCTAGGTTGCGTTAATTAACCAATTGGGTGCCGGCGTGGACATCAACGTAAGCGTGTCAGGATGAAGAGTCCGTCGACGGTCTGCTTTTCCCGGGTATCCCATCGCCAGGTTATGCTCGAAACACACTATTCCACCGTGCATGACTCGAGATCGTTCTACTCCGGGTAGGAAACCAGTTCCAACCAGCCTACTACGGCTGCTTTTGCTTGCCAATTCCAACCGCAAGTATCCGTGGACCCACGTCATGTGGGGAGACGCTTCGACGAGGTCCGTAAAATAAGGACACGATCAAATGGGATGCGCAGATTGGGGGATACGATGGATCAGAATTTTGGTCAATTCCGTCCCAGAGGATCGGTAAGCTCTGAGGACTGGGGTTCGAGGCCAGGCCCATCTTTTCTCTTCGTGGTCTGACAGGTCGAATGGAAGCTAATCGAATCAGGGATGTGCTTGAAAGGCGTAACATTGCGCCAACTTGAAGACTTCTGATGTCCTTAGTGCCGTACTGCAGAGGATAAAAGGACGATGACCACCAACCTTCATCTGTCTCCCAGAGTCGACGCTGTCGAGTCTTCAAATTCCCCATATCTAGTCTTGCGAGCGAACACGACACTTTCAGCATGCCCAACAATCTCAAAGTGGACGAAGAGGTCGTCATCTATTCGACTCTCGACGGCAATCCCTACGTTGGGGTTCCCCCGATTTTGCCGACCATCTTACCAGTCAACTTGATTGACAGGGCTTCCGGTGTCCAACCTCCAAGGGTATGTATCATAGTGAATATGGGGTCACCTAACTCACCTCGTACACTCACCCATGTACTTTGTGCAGTTCATCTTCCAGCGGGTCGGAGAGAACACATACTTGCTTACCATCAATGGGTTACAAGTCGTCGAGCTGGAAGGGAGGTTATTTGCTGTTGTGGAGGGAGCCGCACAAGAGTGGGTTGTCACATACAGAAGGAATCACGATGCATACACGTAGGTCGCATTCACTGCCTCCGCTCTGGCCCCCTAGATTCTGATAACTTCGTATGACTGATCGTGGTTGCGTATGAATGGGTGGACAGGATCACCAAGAGGCTTGATTCCCCCGAAGAAATCGGATGGATCGCTCCGACCGAAGATGAAAATCGTCAGGTAACTGTGGAACATTGGTTATGGTGACATTTTAGAGGACTGAAACATACATCTCTTTTAGATCCGTGTCGGGCCTCTCATCGTGGGGCGGTCATTCCCACCCTTCTACCCTCCAACTGAGTTATTCAAGTTCGAATTTCCTGCTGAGTGAGCGAGGTAACTGGGGAGTCCGAGTGGTGTAACGAGCAAATTTTTTCTGTGTAAGATAGCTGAGAGCGTCGTGTAAATGTTCAACCGTTGTTGTGTATGTCAATGATACTTGGAGAACCCCGCACTTCGTGCGTATGGATGAAATGAATAGAAGATACAAGATCATTCATTGAGCATTTCCGTTAGACAACAGTCTTGTTGCCAACGCTATCTTAAGCTCGAGTCTTTATCACAGCGGACGCCGCGGATTAACGGTCCTTTGCTTGCTGGGCGATGGTATGAGAAACGATAATGACGCATATATCTGAAAGGTTGTCACGAAAATGCGAGGCGAAGGTCTGTCTTGGTTACCCTGGCAAAATTGGGAGAGCAGCAATCACTTAAACTTGCGGAGATTGTGTTCGATGATCTGAGACTTGTATTTGCGAGGAATTCATTTCGGGAGTCAGGGCAGGAGTGGAAAATAGCGGCAATCCTGGGATCCGAGTGTCCATCCGAGAGCTGAAATGCGGGTGGGTATCATCCGCCTTCGCCACAGAGATCGACGATGGCGTTGTTGGCAGTCATATGTAGAAGAACAAGAAGAGCCGGGTTAGCCTTCGGGACTAACAAGTGGCGGGTTCTGCTTACGTCATCAAAAAGCACTAGGGCAAGTTCCCCACCGCCGTCGACCTCGAAAGTCGACATTCAGACTGGCAATGGTAATTCTGACTTGACAATGGCGACCATAGAGGATAGGAAAGCGAAGCTTGATGAGTTGCGGGCTAAAATGGTTCGTTTACTTCATAATCTTTCTTTGAGGATACCTTACCTTGATATAACAGCGTACATCCACGAAAGCCAACCAGCAGTCACTCATTGAGGAGTCTGCTAGAGCGAAAGTAACAGTACGCGATATGGCACGTATGGAACGGCAGAAAAAGCTTGCCGAGACTCTTCGGACACAGGCGGAAGCAGAGGAACGAGGGGAAGATGTTGAGCGGTCAAAGAATTGGGAGTGGACAATAGAAGAAAATGAAAAGTGGGAGAAGAAGTTGGCGAGAAAGGCTCGGAGAGCAGACTACGAGTTTTACGGTGCGTCAGTGTTGCAGGTTATTCGAAGCAACATAACGGGCAGATGACGATCGGTTGCAGATGACGTGCATGCTGCACACCGACGGTATAAGAAGGACTTGGACTTTATCAAACCCGACATGGAAGCATACAACAAGCACAAGGAACAGGCCTTGGGCTTGGCTGTTGGGACTCTATTGGGCTCGGGCAGTTCCACGCCTTCCGGTTCATTATCGAGTGCACTAACAATGTACGACCCAAGTGGTGCCCAGGTTTGCATACTCCGACGAATGATATCCGTAAACCAATCACTCCAGCAGATGGTTCCAACAGTTGAACAACGTATGGCCGTGGACGCTTTCTACAGAGATGCCAACACACTGATCTATGCTGATAACAAGCCTTCTGAAGAGGCTATCGACCGGCTAATCAGCAAGCTCAACCGAGAGTCAGTATCTGCCTCTCCTGTGCCTTCCTTGATGGGTGTGCTGACAAATTGTTTAACAGTGTCGATAAAAAGGCCAAGTTTTCGCGCAAGAGGCACAACGAGGATGAGGGTGATATTACGTATATCAACGAGCGGAATCGTGTATTCAACAAGAAGGTCGGTATTCTTCCGTCTTGCTTTTCGTGATGCCTTTCTTATGCATTGCTTCACGCCTCAGATTGCAAGATACTACGATAAATATACTGCAGAGATTCGTGCCAGCTTCGAGCGTGGAACTGCACTGTAGCACTGTTACCTTTGAACTGTATAATTACCCTCTGCCTAATACTCTGGCTCCGAGTCGGTGCGATACTGTATACGTAAATACTTCACGCATGGATTACAAGTTCTGCGTTTCCTGAGGCCTGAATGATCGTACTGCATTACATAAGCCCGTCATGGACGCTCCGTTGTTGAAGCCGAGCTTGTCCCTGTCATCGACGACATGGCCAGTATTGGCCCCGGTCAGAATGTACTGAAATTACTGCTGCTTGGGATTGTATTCCATGTCGTATTCATAGCATCAGTATTCGACTGCTACTTCACAAGTCCGGTAGTTCATGGAATGAACCACCATGGATCACAAAGTCGCGGCGAAGCAAAGCGTCTCGTCCTGATAGTCGGCAAGTCACTTACCTCCAGTGACCCTGCTTCTTGATGGACTCATACAGACTGCAGCTGACGGTCTGCGTGCCGATCTTTTGTTCACTCCGAATGGATTCGCATTCGGCGAGTCTTCACCGACCGTGGTAGCACCCCACTTGCGCTCAATCGCAGAGAAACGCGGGGCGTTTGGCGTGTCACATACCAGAGTGCCAACGGAAAGTCGTCCAGGCCACGTTGCTATCATCGGTTTGTCTGGTTACGCGCGTGCTCTTCGTGACGAGGCTCACGTATCTCAGGTGGAATGTACGAGGATGTGTCCGCGGTGACAAAGGTTAGACAAAGTAGGCGCAGTAGACAGAAGACAGTCTAAACCTTGCTTTTCTAGGGCTGGAAGACCAATCCAGTAAGGTGCACCTCTGAAAAAGTTCTACTCACCGTTTACTCACTTTGACAAGGTGGATTTCGACTCAGTGTTTAACCAGTCCAGCCATACATTCTCGTTTGGCTCCCCTGACATCCTTCCTATGTTCTCCAAAGGCGCAAGTCTCGACAAGGTGCTGACTTGGTGTTATGACGAAGAAGCAGAGGATTTTACAAAGGGTGGGTTTCAAGATTCGGAAGTAGGTCTCGATTCAAGTGGTGTCCCTTCTTTATTTTAGATGCGACTACCCTAGACACTTGGGTACTAGATCAGCTTCGCATATTATTTCAAAATGCGTCAACGGATGCTACGTTGAACTCCCAATTACGGGGCGACAAAGTCATATTCTTTCTCCACCTTGCTTGGGTTGGACACGACCGGGCACGCATATAGGCCGTTTTCCATGGTAGGTCAGCCCGATCTGCCACGTTTTCGGGATATACAACGTCATCACAGGAATACATGCAAAACATTCAGGTCGTGGACAACATTGTTAGGTCAGGTCGAGAACCTTGTTTCTCAATTCTACGAGGACCAAGAGACGAGTTATGTTTTTACAGCTGATCACGGAATGTCTAAGATAGGGAACCATGGAGATGGTGGTAACGCTGCTCTCTCATTCTTTCTCGTTGACCTAGTAATCTGACGGCCGGGCTCAGATCCGGATAGCACCCGTACACCCTTGATTGCATGGGGTAAGGGCATTCGTGGTCCACTCTCAGACTCGACGCCCACATCGCACGATGAATATTCTAAACCATGGAATCTAGGCCACCTACTGCGACGAGACGTGTCACAAGCAGATTTAGCACCATTGATGGCGACACTCATCGGGATAGACTGGCCATCAAATTCAGTAGGCGTGTTACCTGATATTGACCCGACACGAGCTGGTTACCTCGCGCCCCTCGAAGGGGAGGAAGCACTCGCTCGGTATTCGTTGGTCAACGTGCAGGTTCTGTTGGAGCATTATCTGGTGAAACATGGTAATATAGCACTTTTTGCGCTGTGCCTGATACCTACTCATTGCCCAAAGAAATGAAAGCTGCGCATGCCATTTTCTATAAGCCCTTCGGTCTTTTGGAGGACGAGGAGCTGGGCGTGCCAGCTCGAATCCGAAAAGTTGCTGCCATCGAACGACTAATTGAGGAGGGAAAGTGGTACGATGCGCGTAGATACTCCATGGAGCTGAGCGAAACTTGTTTGCAAGGTTTGCGTTACTTGGAGACGTCAGTAAGCGGTTGTACCCAGTACGGCACGTGCTAATGCAGAAGCCAGCTACGACCGGCTATTGATCCGCGCTATCGTCGTCGTGGCATACCTCGGATGGGCGGCATACGCCTCAATCTCATTGCTACCACCCGCAGCTTCCCTTTCTGCATCCAGAAGCGGAGTTGTCAACGTCGTTACCATCGCCACACTATTAGGTTTTTGGGCCGCATTTTGGATACAGAATTCGCCTTGGACGTTTTATGTTTATGTCGCTTTTCCTTGTTACTTCTGGAGGGAATCTTGCTCTCGCGGCGTACCGGCCCTTTGCAAATGTGTATCCGAATGTTCGCCGACATACCGAAACCTATGCGTGCAGTTGATCTTGGTTATCTCTGCGCTGCAAAGCATGGTGGTATGTCACTGTTCCTTATTGCTGTCATCCTTGTCTTTAGCTCAGTGGCCTACACACAGGTTGCTTACACCCATCGTTCCATATGGAGTGCCGGTTATGTAGTAATTGGTGTTCTGTGGCCGCTGTTCACGTGGCCCTCTTCGTTGCTTTCTCAAAATTGGAAGCTTGTAGGGTTGTGGTGTGGAAGTTGTATCGTGACTGGTGTGTTTCCCCTCCTGGCGGTCGACAAGGAGGAAAGTCTACCTTCAATGTGAGTATTCTGAGCATTTCCCTGTGTGACCCAGTTAATTTCCACGTAGTTTGGCAGGTGGAGGTGTCATGCTGCTCATAGGGGCCATTCATTTATATTCTTCTGGCCAAAATGTCGTGGATAAGTCGGTGAAGATATCCCGTGCAATTCAAGTGAGTTCCTTGACTACGAGTTGGTTTGCCACTGAAGGTGTGCAGATGGGCCTGGTCGCGGCCATGATGCTAGTCACCTCTGGCTCCGTCTGCAGTTTGCAGGCCAGGGCTGGATTGCCTCGACTCAATCAGATCGCTGCCTGGCTGATTCTTGGTGCGTGGATTTCCGCTTACTGGGGTTCTTCGTTTTCATTGAGCTTGTTGCCGTAGCATCATCCTCCGTGTACCCATTCATTTCGAAAGTACGCCATCCTTCCCAGACATCCAAGATCATATCCTTTTTCCTTTCATTTGCTGCCTGCTTCGTTATTTTATCGATAAGCGTCGAAGGACTTTTCTACTCCGCCTATACCTGCAACTTGCTTCTTTGGATAGAAATCGAAGCACTCGTGCGGAACTCTGACAGCTCTAACGGGAACGGGTCTGCGGCTGATCAACAACTATCGATATCCTACCGATTCCGAGCGGATGATATCCGTATTGCGCTGTTTTTCTTGTTCTATGTTCAAGTGGCATTCTTTGGGACGGGAAAGTGGGTATTCGCAGTGTCATCTTCGTGACTCCCCTACTGATCCATCCCGCATACAGTGTTGCTTCTATTTCGTAAGTGGGCCCTCGTTTGACCCTGTTGCTGTGGCGAACTAATATGTAGATCATTCTACCTCGAGCCCGTGTATCGCCTTGTACCTATCTTTAACCCGTTCTTGATGGCAGCGCTTCTGGTTGGTTATCTGTTTGCTCCCCCTTCGAACATGCGCGCTCATAGGATCGTTTAGATATTCAAGATCGTCTGTCCATACGTTATCTTATCGGTAGCCTTCGCCACTCTCAACGCACGTCTTCACCTCCCTCCATTCTCCCTATTTCTGGTTGCCCTCACACTAACAGATGGTAAATGTTTCTGCTCTTACCATTACATTTTGCATACTCACAAACACCCAGGGATGACGATGACGTTCTTTTTGAATGTAACAGATACCGGTGTGTTCGCACTAGTATATCATACGCTGCTTGTTTCTAATTAAACACGTATAGGTTCTTGGTTAGAGATCGGCCAATCTATCAGTTTCTTCTGCATCACGTCTCTACTACTGGTTTGGTCGGCTGGAATATGTGCGGCTGGCGAGTATCTCATGGGAAATACGCTGGTAGATCGCAAGTCGACCAAGGTGAACTGAAATACTCTTAACGCAGTAGATCGTGTACACGTACTAGAAGAATATAGACCCTACATAAACTTTATGGTATGAACCTGCACGCGGTCATGTCGTGCATATGTGCGTTTCTCTTCGCGTCCACCAACCTACCGTGAACGTCAAACTTTCGAAGTGGAAAAACCGTCTAGCTTATCACCAACTGCGACTCGAGCGGAATATTACCTCGTCGTGATTAGTCTCTGTTCGTTACACATATATAGTACATAGTTGAACGTTAACGTTCATCGACATCGATGCATCTACGCCCATGCAATGTTGTGCTTACTACCGTCTGCAGTCTGTGTACTAGTAATATTATTACCGGCATGCAGATTACCTTTTCAGGTTGTTTTCCCTTGCCTCTGTTTGTTTGCTCGACGAAGGTACCCCTGTGTGCTCGCTCTAATAAGCACCTCCATCTGATTGCACGTGCCACCTAAGCCCTTATTCACGCTCTGTTTCCGCGCCGTCTCTGTGTTTGCCTTAAATAACTCTTCTGGTGAGCTTTTCCATGTGGATACAGCAATTATGCAGTCATTTGGCTGATCTGATGCACGATAGGGGGAAACTGAAGGGTTGCCATCAGCCTATAATACTGGCATTTCCTATCCAACGACACCTAGATCTTACCCCCCCTACCTCAAACTGTCACCTCCATGATGGAGCTGATGGGCCAATCTGCTCTATTGGATAAACAACGTTCGGCAGCAGCGAAGTTGCTGTTGCTTGACTCAGGAAACTTAAGTTCAGCTCAAGTGGTTGCCATGGTGGACTGCTTCTACCAAAATGTCTCTCATGCAGATGCATATTTGGTACTTGCACAGAAAGCTTCACAGGAGGTTAGGCAGGCATGGTTCCAGAGGAGGATCAAGGAAGCTATTGCCCAGGGATATGCATGTGAGCCAGTTCCTGGGCAAGTCCTGGGTACATAAACTCTGTTGTTATAGATCATACTGAACCAGTAACTCTGGTCATGTGGGGAGGGGGGTTGGGGGATAACTGGACACATTGAGGCTTTGCTCCTACAACCCTGTGTATATGAACCCATCAAATATTAAATGTTATCACAGACCATTCTCCTGCTTCTACAGACCTTTGTATCCATGTGCCACTTATATATTGACATTGCTGGTGTCTTGACCTTTTTGGCCATTAGTTATGAGTTTCTATGTGTTTGAGCCCATTACCATGCAGAAAGATTTCAGGAATAGCCTGGTCTACCCTAGACTTACAGCAACACAAAAATGTGTTCAACTGATCCATAAACCTCTAGACTACAGTGTTGTCAGAGATTGAGACCTCATCCTGTATACAAGATTTTCCTGCATAGTAGTCTGTGTTCATGAATGTGCTGCTACTTGTCCATCACTATTATATGTTTTTCGACACCCAACACAGTTCAACAGTTACACGAAGATACCCTTTTCAACTAACACTCCCTGCTAGAAGTAAAAGTCTGATCCGTTAAGAAGTAATCGCGTGCTTGCAACACATGTGTCCAGGGGAGCGCCCGGAGGACTTTGGTATTGGTTATGTTGGTTTCGGTTTTACTAATCATCGCTGGCACTTGAAAACACCTAACTTCAGCTTCACAACAGCACAATTTTTTCGAAGGATCTTCTCCTTTAGTGTATAAATACGTATAAGTCAGACTGACAAGTGGACAACTGTCTGACGAATGAGCAGCAATTGCATTAAATGTTTTCCAGTCCTTATATCACAGCTTTTCCACCACTTGAAACAAGGTTTGCGTGAATGAGGGAAGAGCTGAGGGACACACTGTCGGTGGTGACCAGTGTCATTGGGGATATGTTGCGTTCGATGTAGTTGTGCGGATCGAGATCGAGGCTCAGGAAACGTCCACAGAATAGGATCCTCGCAAAAAGGAACAAGAATACCCTTGGGAAGGAGACTGCAGACAGTGCGGATTAGCTGATACAACCTTATATCCTTCTCATCACGAGGTCTACCTGTCGGCTTCAACGATCAGACTCGGGAACAGGAGAGAATCGGAGTTGCTTATAGGTAGCCGTGTTGTCTGCGTCATTCAAGGCTGGACAAAGGACATTGGGAGCGGGTAGCACGAATGGATTCTGAGTCAGATATGTTGCAACGGACGTGATTGGTGAGCACTCGCAGACCTTATTTCGATTCAAGCCTTGTAAGCGTGAATTGTACACACCTTCCCGTGGACTTCGCAGGCGTAACCTACCTGTAAGATTACAACACACTGGTTTACTCTCAAGAGGGCAGGACTATGGTGCTATGCGTCAGGCACTTACCTTCAGAGGTTGTTTGATAAGATGTCAGTAGAAGAAAAGGTTCTAAACAGAGTACGCATAATGTGAAAGCCAGCAGTACATAAGCATCTATATGTAAGGCGGTCCAAGAGCTGCAAACGCTGTCAGGATATGTTTTTATAAAAAAGACTGAACGCGACTGACCTTGTCTAAAGATATTGAGAGTGAATTCTACCACAAGCAACAGCACTCCGCCACCTGGTGCGAGTCGAAGTACTTTGGGGGTAAATCCTTTATAGAGAGCTGCGGGACCCTCCTCTCGGAAAATTGTGACAAGCCTGCGATGTGATGATGAGCCATCGCATAAGCGGAGAGGAACTGTGACGTACGCTGGGTATGTCCAGTTGTACTTGGGAACTACACCCGGCACTTTGCTGACACTTTGAATACGGGATTTCACCACCTACAAAAATATATGCCGTTGAGGAGCATTCTAAATCAGAATGAAACATGACGAACATCGAATCTGTACATAGTAAAGTCAAGCTACGTCGCTCTATACCATTGGCATACATACGGGGTATTAAGGACGGTGCCCATGAAACCTCCGACAGATCCAGAGACAAAGTTGTTGAACAACTGGCCCTGAGGCGTCTGTAATGGTGTCCACAGATAAGTGTCCTAGCCATAGACAGGTTACAGAACAACTTACCTCTGCCTTGGGCATCATAGCACGTACTTGGTGAATACAACCAAAGTATCCGCCATTCCACCAAAAGTGTCTGTCAGAAATGTGAAATCAGACATGGCACACCTGAGTTGACGAGTAACCTACCTCCAAAATGTAGCCTCCATACCAGCATAGAGGCCTAAAACGCCCTCCTTTTTAATCACCTGCTTGACCACATCCATAGGGCCAGCAAAGGTGCTGGTCTTATCCTGTAGTCTGCGATTGGTTTAATAATATAGCTACCACACATCGAAGACTGACACTCACTTGATCTTTACTAGCTCGAATGGCACAACAACGAAGCTCTCAGTGGCCCCAGCACTGCATCCGGTAATGATGGAGAGTTGGGAGGTCATTTTGGATTCGCCAGAAAGTTTAAGGTATGTCTTCCCCCAGAAATCGTTCGAAGCGCTGATAATGGTGAATTTCTGGCACCCATTTCAAGCAGGGGACGACACAACTTACAATTTCACAGCGCGCTTAGGTGCCTCGAGGAGGAGGGGAGGTACCAAGCCTAGCGAAGATCCATTACTGCCCATACGCAAGAGAAGGGGATGTGGTACCTCGATATAATCTTCCTACACTGAGAAAATTGGGGCAGATACAGCATAAGTAACAACGATCGTCTTCCCTAGACTTACCCTTCCTCACGGACGATCGCTGTTAGCGTTCCAACCATTCCATGTTTGGATTTGCCGGTCTCAAGTTGCATACGAGTTTTCACCTAAAGCCACATATCATGACCCTGTGTCCAGTGTTTGACAAGACAAGGAACGCACAACATCTTATAGGCGTTCCACATATAGTCACGCGACTGCTCTTGAGCGGCATTGGACACCACTTACCGAGGGGGTAAAAAGTCAAGATTTCCGACACTCCAGCGATCGCTCCCGCCGCAAAGTTGGCAATGAAGGGAAGTGCTAAATAAATCGATTTCCTCGTGGTCAGGTCGAATCCTCCCCGACCGGAACCTAGTATGTACTCACGCTTCCGTTGTTCCGTCGCCATGGCTCTATTGGACAAGGCTTGAACAGGGAATAAGAGGCTAACAAATCAAAGGCCAATAATGATAGTAAGAAGGAGAGAAAAAAAAACCCTTGTGTGCGAACACACTAAGCTAATAGTGATGGCAGTTAGAGCGCGCGCTATTCGGATGGTGCTCGGCCGCCCGTGATTTTGTGTCACGCGATGTCACAACGTCACATAGGGCGTGACCTGCATCACGCTCCTCCTGGCAGGAACGAGGTTGCGCTGTTTCGCTATGCGACGATGGTATACATCGCCTCCTGGCAAGAATACCAAGAGGCCGCAGAAAATCTGTATGCAAAGTCACCTAACAAGGTAAATCCCGCTTAACCGCCGCATGGAGGCCTGCAGGCTGAATATCGCCGCGTCCAGACACGATATTGTGTGAAATGGAGGTCATCCGAGGGCAAGCTGGTGTTGAAGATCACTGATGATACGACAGTAAGTGGAGTGGATTGTTGGTGACATCGAGACGTGCATTAACGGCAGATGTTATCGGGGATATCCAGTGTATCAAATTCAAGACATACTCATCGATCTTTCTGAATCGATTTGAAACCCTAAACCTCTCCCTGATGCAAAAAATGCAGAATAGGCGTCCTGAGCCAACGCCCCCTCCTGCAACTTCAAAAGCACCACAGCATGACGGAGACGCTGGAAAGCCTCGTGCTACCTCCCCCGTACCCCCTCAGCAGGCCGGACCAGCTTCGGGCGGTATCAAGAAGAAAAAGCCGAAGAAAAAGAAGTAGTATTTTTTTTTTTCGGAGACAACTTCAATGAGAACACGATATCCCGTTCGTTCATTCTGATTTCATGATGTCCGCGCGCCATTAAATGTTGTGCATGTCCTGTCACTCTTTTCTTGTGCTATCACTCGACAAAGACTATCGGCGTGTCACGCCCGTGAGTATGGTGCATGCAGTTCGAATTAGCATCTACTTGGACGTACACTACTATTATCCCCAACCCTCCTTCGAATTCTCTTACATAAACAGGAGACTTGTGCGTACTATCTAGTATGGTATTCCCTGATCCGACATTACTCCTGTACCAGGATCTTATCCGGCGAGGATACCCCTCGCCCTTGAAGAAGCCCGTGCCATGAGCCTCTTCCACAGCATGTTGGCTTGTTTCGGAATTGCTCTCGAACGCACTGCGTCATTCTGACATACACAGCATGTCACGTGGTCCACCCCGCTGACTCGTTGGGGTGCTTTCAAACTCCGCTATCGCTTGGTATATAAGCCACTCAGAGTGGCGAGACTTTTGCAACGACTCACCGCATCTGACCACTGCAACCCTTCTGACGACCCAGCATGCAAATCTTTGTTAAGACTCTGACGGGGAAGACTATCACCCTGGAGGTGGAGTCTTCCGATACCATCGATAACGTCAAAGCCAAGATCCAGGATAAGGAGGGGTACGTACTCTCCTTTCTCAACGATGCAAAGGTTTCTAACATCCCACAGCATCCCTCCGGATCAACAGCGTCTCATCTTTGCTGGTAAACAGCTCGAAGATGGCCGCACGCTCTCAGACTACAATATCCAGAAGGAGTCCACTCCTTCACCTCGTCCTCCGTCTCCGCGGTGGTATGCAGATCTTCGTCAAAACCCTCACAGGCAAGACGATCACTCTCGAGGTTGAGTCCTCCGACACCATTGACAATGTCAAGGCGAAGATCCAAGATAAGGAGGGTATCCCTCCCGACCAACAAGCGCCTCATCTTTGCTGGGAAGCAGCTTGAGGATGGTCGCACGTTGTCGGACTACAACATCCAGAAGGAATCCACCCTTCACCTCGTGCTTCGTCTGCGCGGTGGGATGCAGATCTTCGTGAAGACGCTCACCGGGAAAACCATTACTCTCGAGGTCGAGTCTTCTGATACTATTGACAACGTTAAGGCGAAGATTCAAGACAAGGAGGGCATACCTCCTGACCAGCAGCGTTTGATCTTCGCTGGCAAGCAGTTGGAAGATGGTCGCACCCTTTCCGACTACAATATTCAGAAGGAGTCTACGCTCCACCTTGGTATGCATGATCCGTTTCTCTTTTTTTCCCGGTCGCTGACATGTTCGATGGTAGTTCTTCGTCTCCGTGGTGGCATGCAGATATTCGTGAAGACATTGACTGGCAAGACGATCACTTTGGAAGTGGAGTCTTCGGACACCATTGACAATGTGAAGGCGAAGATTCAGGACAAGGAGGGTATTCCTCCTGACCAGCAGCGCTTGATCTTTGCCGGCAAGCAGCTTGAGGATGGTCGTACCCTCTCCGACTACAATATTCAGAAGGAGAGTACTTTGCACCTTGTCCTCCGTCTGCGTGGTGGTCTCTGAGTTGTCTGGTACATTGACGTTGTACAACTCTGTATTACATTGTGTCGTTTCCCTTGCATCATGACCCCCAATATATTTTGCGAAGCCTTATGTCAAATTTAACTGATTGAACTAGAGTGAAGGGTGCCTCGCCAGTTTTTTGATACTTGTAGTAGTAAGATGGTTTGTGGATACTTGAGGGCGTTCACATTGTCCCCGCAATACCAGAGGTCCCGCATGTCAAATGACACCAAGACGGAGCATCGTTTCACCTGGTGTTCGTAGGCGCAGCCTCAGCTTGCAAACGAAGGACGCCAGAGAGGCGGTAGGTTAGGGCATACCAGTGCTAATTGCGAATAGTGAAGCTAGTGAAGAACTACAGGCCTAGGGTAGGCCAGAAGAACCTAGGTTCGACTGTCCCGATGGCCACGGTCGCGGCCGTACTTCGCCTGTTCAATGAAATGATTAGACAGTCGCGAGGACAAGCGAAGTTGGACGACCAATTCTTTGGCGGTTCTTCATCCAATGCTTAGGTGTGATTTTCTCGTTTCGCCGGTGGCCGCTTGCTTGTTGGTATGTATCTCCTACAACCGTTTCCAGGAGACGCTATCCACCCAATCAAGCTGTTCTGCGATCAAAATTCCAGGGTTCGGAAACAGCTGCAGCCGGTTAGAGAGGCTTCCTCATGAAAACGAGGTTCGTGTCTACAGCATTGGGCTAGTAAAGCGCTAGCTAGCTCAACAATCGACCATACTCATAGCAAGGACATCCTTCTTTGTTTCTCCTTGTGGCACGGCATTTTGTTTACTTCGGGAAGGAACATCTATCTTCCTTCAGATTTTTCTAATACCTATTTTCATGGAAGATGGCAAATGTCTAACTACTGGTGCATGAAATTCGAGGCACGCTGCTCAGGAACTATCTCGGCTGATTTTGACTCCATGGAGTTGTGCAGGAGACAGTAAGCATGCACGAAAAATTCGCCATAAACTAAAGGAAGCGTTTTTGCCGGACGATCGATCGATCAACACCGACTCTCTCAGGAGTTTGTCTAGTGCTTGTATTTCGCGAGGGATGAACTTGAACAAAAGGGACAAACCTTTCGATCTGCCAACGGGAGGCTACTGAAAAGAGGCCCGGATCAAAGCACCGTGCTCTTGCGATCTTACGTTGTAATGATTTGGCAATGCTATCATTACTCCGCCAGCTTCGCCCCCCCTGCATTACCCACATGCTGTAAGCACGGATCGAAACTATACGCATACGCCTGCAAACTGTACAGCCATCCCAACGATCGGCAGTTGAGAGGCTTGCACGGACATCGTGTTCCTGTCCTGTTAGCTGCGCAACACCAGTTGGCTTACAAGCAGCGCCCACATGTGTAAGTAAATCCTCACCTCATTAGTAATGCAGCTTGATATTCTGTGATGTTTGTACAGCTTTGCGGAGTGATGCGAAGCATTGCCTTCCTTTCCGGACAAGATGCCAAACGTAGGAAGCCTGAGATGACGAGCTGGTAAGGAAAATATGTCGTACTCGCGTACTGCGTCTACATACCATCCAGACAGATGCAATATCTTGGTCATTATACCCTGCCTGAAAGAGATCGTGAGCGCAACCTGCCGCGCCACTACTCTGCCAGTCCGACTACGATATAGATAGAACCTCTACGCAGTGAACCCGACTGGCTTAGTCTATAACCGTTTTTCACAGCCTCTTAATGTCACCGATAGGGGATCACGGGCAACGTGGGAAGACCATCAGTCTTCGTGACAGGCCACTATCGACTTGCCATGTCATCAACAGCCGCAATATGGTACCAACCAAATCGCGAACATGGCGGGGCTGACGTGTTATACTACTTAAGTGGGCGTAAGATGACTGCACATGTTTTTATAGACCTTCCCCACAGCCAAGGGTAATTGCACACCACCCGGGTGCACCAGTTTCCGACCGGTGGGCCAGTGACTACCAATTATAGATTTTCCCGTGCCCCGATAGGGGGTTAACTTATGAAGTGTTCCCCGACGCCGGGGATAGAAGGTAAGTGACAATGAACTTTGTTAACCCTCAAAACACAAACGGAAAACAGGAACCTGGGAAGGCTGTCGATGGCAGTTGTCAGGGGTTTTCTGACAGCGGATATCGATATTTGGGAATCTACACTGTCAATTGCTCTCCTGCCGCTGCGTAGCTGGTGCGCCTCTGCGATTTGAGTCCAGTGAAGTTACATACTTGCGCTTTCCGAAAATGTTATGCTAGGGTCGACGGCGGTTTCCACGACGTGATTCCATCGCACGGTGGACAGTCCACACCGCCGAAATCATACAAAAAAAGGTCGACTGGATTATCCTGGTAGCTGAAATCAGTCTCATAATCTAGGTGAGGGTGCTAGCACTGTCATTATCGGCGGAGGTATTGTAGCGACTTTCGCAATATCTCCATGTGCACGCGTGCGTTTGAAATGCCTCGTGGAAACAGCCATCATCATTCCAGTATGGTTCAGCGTTGGAGGGTTGATAACTAAGAATGGTTTCCCTCAAGGGGCACAGGCAACAATCGGTATCCACCTTACCGAGTAGGCTAATCAGCTACGGCTGGTTCCAACCAAACCCGGCGACTGTTGGCTGCGGTTGTCAGCGGTACTAGACAAAGGTGATCGAGTTACTTTCGAATGCTGCGCATCAACTGCAGCTTACAGTCAGTTCAGTAGTGGGCGGCGCAGCGCAGCCAGCCAAGGCTAAATTTGACCATGGTGGCAGTTCTGAGACCAATAGGCCCAGAACGTTGGCTAGACACGTTGTCTCGATTGACGGAAAGGCTCTGAGAGTATGTCGAGAATCGACGGGTATTCACATGCCAAATGGTAGCGAGTGCTAGTTGTAATTGTTAGTAGTGTGTACACGTTTCGCTTGGTACCGACGGTGCTGGACTCAGCTACCAAATCACCCACCGTTCTGATCGAAACAACTGTACCGACCTCCATGCCACCCGAGTGGCTTACGATAGGACATAAGGCTCAGACAACATACCTCATGGGAACGGTGACCCTGAATCCACCGCATGCAATACATGCACGTTTCTCAATCATCCGTCCCACCGCATTTGTGAAATGATCGGTCGATGGGTCCACCCATCAACCCCACGCTATGAAATTCTCTAAAGTGATTCACATGTGATGCATGCGTGATGACGATGTGATGCTTAAACCGATAAGTGGTGCACGACAACATGAATTATTATTACAACAAATTCTCCGCACCAAAACCAATGGCCTCGGATGGATGTAGAAGAGAAAAGTATCGTGGTCGTAACAGTGGTGAGGTAACTCAAGCGAGTAGGTATCACAATGGAGAAATCAGTACTAAGCTATGGAAAAAGGACTAGGTTGCAACCGCTGGAAAAATTGGGAGTCTCATTAGAAGCCAAGTGGCATGGAAAACTCGCAAGACGTGCAGATCCAAAAGTGCTGGCCAATCAAAAGCCCAAGCTCCCTACGTCAGTTGTCTATCGTAAGAGCGAGTTCCTTCACTACCGAGGATACCTCAGCCTTGTATTTATGACCAACTACGTCCATTAAGCGACGTCGTAACTTGGCAGTGGAGCCGTAACAATGGTGTGTGATCTTGTCAGCCCAAGTTCGCTTTCCCACTCTCTGACACCAGCTTGTCGATCGGCCAGCATACGCTGCACCATGCGGGCGTCCACCAAGGCAGGAATGTCGTTATTGTACAAACCGGTGAAAAAACCGACCTGATCACCCGTGAGCGTTGAGGGGAGCTCTCGAACCGAGCTCTCAACAACTTGGCTGCCGTATAGCTATGTCTGTCGGGTCAGGCAGCACAAGTTTTCTCTTAAGATCTTGCTCAGGAGAAGAGCTATTTACGTCTCGAGAGAGTGATATACTTGGAGAAGCCAGGGGGGACAGTATCAAGTAGATATTGGTCTCGGCCAATGGCTGGCGGCAGTTGGAAGTGAGTGGTATGGAGGTCGAAGATACATAATGTGTCGAGGAAGGACTCGTGTTCGCGTTGCATGCTGTTTGTACTTCGGGGATTGAAGGATTGTATAGAGTGTATAGATTATATGGCCGCTCTTTTCATTCAGGGATGAGGTTGACTGTATCAGAACGCCTTCTCCGTCGCAGACATGGGGTAGCAGTCACGCCGAATACTACGAGAGCGATTCCGCCAAAAACGCCACCGACAAAGGTCCGATATTAACACTGCTATGGATAAACATGAGCCTCGTTACTCCCTCGAACATATGGCAGACTGACTGCGAAGTGCCGGTGAATGTGGACGTCGCGGCGGTGGATTGGATTGCCTGACTAGCGCTGGAATCATGTGAGATACCGTCACCGACAATCAAGTGGTCATTCCTGCTTACCCTGAAGCTGTGGTAGAAGAGCCGGGGGAGTTGTGGGAACAACTATACTCGAAGTGGCATGAGGGCAGAATATAGAAGCTAGGGACAAAGTTAAATTTGAATTGCGATATCAAATACACAGGAGTGCTCACTTCCTGCGTTAACGGTGAATGGTGCGGACTCAACAGTTGCATCGGTGCTGTCACAGAGGGTGGGAGTCACGGAAGTGCCTGGTCGCAAGACATCAATGGTTATTCTGGACGTGACTGTCCACATGCGAACCAGATACAACGTTGCAAAGCCAGGCGGCGGCAATAATATACCCAGCGCTTGGGTTAGCCTCATCAGAATTTGAGTTGGCATCAATATACTATTCGGGCATCCGAATTAGGAAACGTCCAAGAATACCGCAATGGGCGGAAATTTACTACAGCATGGGGACACAAGCATGAGTTGACGCGTGACGAGTCGACTGATACCACGACGTACCAAAAAGTAAGAGGCTGGTTTCGTCGTGAGTTCGACTACGGGTAGAGATTGGAGGCACACGACGGCTACTCACCAATTTCACCACTCCACATGATGAGTGGATTCGCACTTTACCACGCCGGAACTCTTGGCAGTGCCGCGAGGACGCGACGATGTTATAGGGTCAGACAACACTTAAGGCCTGTTGATGAAGGACTGGGCCAGAGCACTGACAACGGGGAGGACAACAGCAGTGAACGTAGACTTCATCACAGTCACGACTGAAACAGGAGGACAACGGGTGCTCGGAAACTGTGTTTGAAGGGCCTTTTGGTCTGGATACCTGACTATTCGTTAAGGCTGCCATGACGGCCATGCGGCTAGCTCTGTAGCGAACATGTCCATGAGAAGAACATGAACCCTGTAACCATAGTTGGAGAATTCCTGCTTGGGATGTCGTCCTGAGTCCTCCCTCTCACCGTTCGAACGCTCGGTCGGCAAGGTCGCCCTGGCAGGCCATCCAGGTTTGCTGTTCCTGACCTGTGTTGAACGCTATGACCTACCGCAGTGGGTGAGATGGCATCTTCCACTTATGTAACTTGCTACATTGCTCGGACTCCAATGGCTGCGATATCAAGTTCACCGAGCTGTCCGAACAAATCCCTCCGACATACAACCCCGCATCGTCTTTTTGCTCTTTCGCACCCCATTATGCCACCTTCATATTGAACAAGAGCTACAGCAAGGATACGTTCGATCTCCATGAACTCAACCTGCGTAATGGCATCGAACACGGTCCGTTAGTGAAGTTACCACTACCCCGTTGATTCAAGTTAGTGTTTGATACGCCATTAAGACCGCATTCCAACCAAAACAAGCGGAAAAAACATATTCCGTACGTTGAAGAATTACTTTCCTTGGTCGTGGGCGAGAACGGGAGGTTCATGACGATCACAGACATGTCAAGGATCCTAAGCAAACGTTGTGCAGATTTCGGGGAAAACAACCCAGATTATTCACTCAGCCGTTACCACAAAGCATTCGGAAATACTAAGTGAGTAGTTGCACGTTGCATTACATCGTGTTTGGAGACCGACCCGTGATGTCAAAGTTCATCTCCTACGCTAAGGCTCTTCAGAGGTCGAACCGATGACTTGCACACGTTGCTATTGGAACGGCGCTTACCCGATGGATGGGAATCGCGCATCCGTGAACCGAACGAATTGACCATACTCGCCTTCAATCGGACGGTCCCACCAGTGGAGTGGGACGTAGATGAATCCAAGTGGGCGGCCAAGGACAAGCTGGAAGCTCCCACCGAGACTGTCGTACCGGTTTAACCCTCTTCGATGCCATGGTGTCATGTTTTTCTTACAACGTCCGATGCCTGCGCTCCTAGGGTCCTCACCGTAAACCCTTGTCCTCGTACCAAGGGTCCGTGCCGTACTTAGATATCCATTTTCTTGAGGTTAATTGCAGAGGTGGGTCCCAGTTTTCGGTTTGGGTCATTTGGCAAAATTCCAGTCAAGCTGATTACCCACCAGGGTCAAAGAAACACATGATGACACGCTGGTAGTAGGCAGCCGAACCTTTGTATTACTGTAAAACAGTGCACAGTTTTGCGGGGTTTCCTTGCTGGAGTGGTTCGAGCATGTTCGGCGCACGCTGGTTGATCTAGGACGACCGGAACGGTGAGTACGAGGCAGAGTTGAACTTGAAGAGGTCGCAACCGACGTGGCCCTGCATATTGGTATCTCCTACGACGACGATTGCCAAGAGATGCTCCTGGCTAGGGGATACCCGATCCACCCAACAGAGCTACTCTATGGTCAAACATCCGAGTTCGGTTTGATAACTTATCTACGACCGGTTTCAGAGATTTCTTGGCAATGAAGTTCGTGTGTACGGCGTCGGGCTTTGCTCCCGACGATATCATGTCGTTCGAAGGGCTGGATGCGGCCATAGTTGTGTTACCGCGGGTTTTGTTTCTCCTCACTAGGAACAGCTATCACTTTCTCCGACTTCTTTTTCTAAACTCACTTTCATGGAAGATGGCGAACGCTTTTTCTGAGATAGCTCCGTGCATCAGGTACGAGACATCGCTCCTCGAGATCTGCCTTGGCTGGCTTCTGACCCACGGAAAACTTGTGTGGAATCCAGGCCTTGCGTTGTATGAATCTAGACCTTCCACTGGCAGGCCCAACGATCAGCAATGACTCTCTCAGGGGTTTCGTCCATTTTATTTGCAAAGTAGTACGAACGCTAGTGAGGCCGGATCAAACTACTGCATGTAGCTCTTTCGGTCTCCGTTGGTATTTGGCAATGGCTATTTACTTGGCCAGCTGCGCCCACGCTGAATACGCCTCGTTACCATGCCGCAAGCACGAATTGCACACGACGGGCTTGTACGTCGGACACTAATGATCCGTGTTCCTATCCTGTTAGGGGCGCAACACAAGTTGACTACCACCATAAGTAGCTCGCGCCGGCGTCCACGTATGTAAATAAATACTTCCGTTCATTTGTGAAGCAGCTTGACATTCCGCAACTTTGTACTGCCTTAGTACGTCATCATGCATATATTCCGTACCTGTCGGACATGTAGCAAGGCCGATATGATGAACGGGCAAGGAAAATATGTCCTACTCATGTACTGTCCCCATATACTGTCCAGCATGACGAGACAGGAGCATTATCTTGGACATTATACCCGGCTTGGAAGAGGTCGTGAGCACCACCTGCCCAACGACCTCGATAGAGACACAAAATCTGCAGTAGTGAGACTATTACTGTTTTTCACAGCCCATTAATGTAACCGGTAGGGGTTCACGGGCAACGTGGGAAGGCCATCAGTCTTCGTGACAGCCACTGTCGACTTACCCATAGCATTTAAAAACCGCAATGGGGGTACCAACCGAATCCTGAACATAGACAGCTTATCGTATTACAGGCGGATCCAGTGCGCAGGTAGATGACTGCACATGATTTTATACATACCTTCCCTACAGTCAAGCGTAATCGCACACCGCAAGGTAGTTTACGCTAGTACCCATCCAAGGCTGTAGCAGGCTCGCGGGTAGGGACTGCCGATTTAGATTTTCCTGTGTGCAGAAATGGACTTGATTTATGAAGTGTCCCCGATGTCGGGGATAGAAGGCAAGTGATGGTGAACCTTGGTGACATGCAGACGGAAAGTTAGTACATACCAGGGAAGGCTGTCAGTGACAGGGGCCAGGGGTATGTTGCCATATAGAGCACCTAATTGCGCTCGTCAAAAATGTTATGACTAGGGTCGACGGCGGTTTCCACAACGTTGTGAATGCTTTCTGATTTCATCGCACGGCAATGGTAGAACAGTTCACGCTGTCAAAATCACGAAAAAGGTTGACTGGCTCCCCCTGGTAGGTGCAAACAGTCTCACGTTCTAGGCAAGGGTGCTAGCGTTGTCGTTATCGGCGGAGATATCTTCGTGTGCGTGTGTGCGTTTGAATGCCTCGCGGAAACGACTACGTATCATGGTTCCAGTAAGGTCCGCCTTGGATGCTTGATAACTGAGGATGGTCTTCCACAAGGGGCAGAAGCAACAGTAGTAGCGGTATTCACCTTACCGAGCGGCCAGGAAGCTGCGGTTGGTTCTCAGGCAAACTGTTGGCTGCAGTCGTCAGCTGTACTCGACAAAGGCGATTGAATGTACCGCGAAATGTTTGCCTCGCCATTAGATGATAGGTCGCCAGTGCCGTGCTGTACGGATCCTCAAACTCACAAGAGATGAGATTGTAAGTTCCGAACTAGACATGTATACCTAGCTAGTTGTCGGGTAACGGATGCAATGCATACCGAATGCTGCGCATCAGACCATCAGCTGCAGCCTTCAGCCAGCGACGAAGTCGGCAATAGACGGCATAGCGAGCCAACTTGGTCAAGGGCCGGGCTAAATATGACGATGGTGGCAGTTCTGAGACCATTAGTCTCCTCGTCAAGATGTGGGCTGAGCACGTTGTCTCGATTCACGGAAGGCTCTTTGAGTCTTTCGACGGGCATTTGCCTGCCAAATCGTGGGTGTAAGACGTGGTCATGCAACGTTCCAATCGAAACAGCTATACCATCAAAACATTCACCCACCCCCGTGCTAATCCGAGCAGCTACACTATCTTAGACTGCGATCCATGATCGAGACGGGCACGGAAACAGTACTTGGAGTGAACTAGTACCCCTAATAAAGTTTTGCTGTATCTGGCAAAAGAGGTGTTAGTTGAACTCACTCATTAGTAGACGATCCCACGCAAGCCTCGTTGACCAATTGGCCGCAACGCAGACTCGAAGTTAGACTTGGGTTAGTCCTTCCCGATCCCCACACTAGTCAAATAGCTGTGCATCGTGTGTGTGCTGCACATCCGATTTAGGGCGACCTGCTCACGGTCTAGACCCTGTCCACTGCAGGAGGCGAGTTACAGTTGATGCCATTCGACCCACGTTGACGATTGTCCAGTTCGTGGCGTAGATTGACAATAACTCGGTGCAAATGGCCTTGCGGCGATATACCACAATCGTAGACGGCACTATCCCTATTTCAGCCCTTCTCTACAACGACGAGGAGCTTCTTGCTAGCCAAGACAACGTAGGGATCTACGATGGGTACGTGTTTCCATCAATATCACGTTCGAAACGGACGTTTCATAGTCGTCCTCCAATGCGGGTGACCTCATGTGTCTTTGCTTGAACATTCACATCCATCATCTCCACTTCCCATGTCAGTCAGCAGAAAGCTATAGATCACCAATCGGGCGCCATCCACGTAACGACACATCGAATTTTCTTCATAAATACACGGAGTCCAGCTACCCAATCCTTTACTATGGATTTGTCGCACGTAATACGAACGGACCATTATGCTGGTCTATTCAAATCATCACCCAAAGTGACCCTATTCCTCGATGCCAACTCCGTATCCAATTCTGGAGATGAGAACCATGTAGATGCGAGATTTGAGAGCTGGGAATGCGAGGTTTGTAGCTACCGCAACCCTCCAGGGCTCAGTCCAGCTGCGGCACAGGTCTGCGGTCTGTGCGGTGTTCCACGAAACGCGGTTCCAGCACTGACTTCTCAAACCCCGTCTGAGGCTCCAACACCTTTGATATCATTTCCTACCTCGTCTACATCACTTCCTGGTACACCATCGAGATCAGGCAGCCCACCTCATGGGAACGGCGATCCTGACTCCATCGCATGCAGTGCATGCACGTTCCTCAATCATCCGTCTCTCCGCATTTGTGAAATGTGCTTCACAACGTTACCCACAGTCTCCCAACGTTTTGAATACAATAAGACGAAGTCTGCACCTCCATCAAGACCGGTGTCTCCCGTGTCAACAGCAGCAGATCCGGCCAACCTGCTCATCAAGCTCAGTTTCAGGAAGGGCGGTGACAAAGCTTTGTACAACATTCTGAAACGCGCACTGAAAGCACGCGTATGGGAGGTTAGCCGATGCCGACATGAATGTGAGCTTTTCCACTGATTGTAGTCGAATTTGTCAGGGAAGACAGATCGGAAAGGTCTTGAGGAACGGTCAATCCAATATGGGTGCGGTGTCTCCGGCAGGTTCCTCTACCCCTGCCTTCCTTCGAACCGGTATCGGTAAGGTTCTTTCATATGAGTGGACCTAACAGGATCCGAGAATTCCTTCCAGGCGGGATTATAGAGAATGTCAATGCATCCGTGAAAAACACAGAGACGGAACTTTCCGATGCATTCCAAGACCTAGAAGCGTTAATGGTGAAGGCAAGGGACCTCGTGCAGCTAGCTGCCGAGTTAAACGAGAAGCTCAACGCGTCCTCTACCGTTGCAAGCACATCCCGTTCAGCTTCCCCCCTACCGCCGTTCGTTGTACCTTCAGTGGCATCCCAATCAGTGCCCAATTCAATTTTTGCTGTCACATCACTGGTGCCATCTGCAGAACCGGAGGAAGCGAGGTTTATACGGTCCTCTTTGTCACAGCTCGGTCTACAAATGACAAATGCACCTGTAACGCCAGACATGATCCGAGATGAAAGAAGATGGATAGAAGAGTTGGCACGTGAACTGGCAGGAGTGCTCCAAGGCACATCTGACGATGTATTGGGACAGAAACCAAGTGGCATCATGCGACAACGAGGAATAGTTGGCCTTGATGAGGTATGGGGTGGTTGGAATCGTGCACGGGGTGTTGGTACGTCCCTATTTGCCAAGAATGGGAAAACATCTGACCGAATTTTGTCTGATTTGCCTCGTGCAGCACTAATCCCACCTTCCACGTTCTTGCAGACTATTCAGTTTCTTCCTGACTGTACTTCTCCCCCAATCTACAACAGAACGTTCAAATCCGGCTTTCGGGTGTTGCATACGCCACCTTTCACTCATGCCTCATTTACAGCACGCCTTCTAGGTTACTTGATGTTATCCGAAGTCCTAACAACTAGCCAGATAGCACAGGAAGAGAACATTACACTCTCCCTTGCCGCGGAGATGATAGAAGTTGTGGAAGTGGATGGGGTGGTGTGTAGGGACGATGAGCGGTCGGCAATCAGAGGTGGTGGTGGTGGAAGTGATTCAGAGCTTCGATGGTCACTAAACACGTTCGCGGAGTACGTATGGGATGGACAGACATTTGACTGACACTCCGATGATAAAAGTGTGGTATTATTTTTTGATCATCTGTGTTATCAAATGGTCGGTAGGTTTCAAGGCCAAGTGAGAGCAACCACCCCCCATGTGAGTTCATACCCTGCTATCAGTACTTCCAAATAAGGCTATGGAATCACATCCAGAAAAGGCTTCTCCTTTCGGAACATCTTTGGCAAGTTACAACAACAAACAAAGACTTCACCTTATTTTGTCTCGAGCATTGTAATTGTGGAATTCGTTTATAATATTTGAAAACTGGCGCACCGCGTGGCTGAACCGGCTACCCCAGTTTACCGTGTCACCGGTGTAAGGCCTTGGTCGGTGCTAATGTTCCGGTCGTACTCGCTGAACGTTACGACGGACATACCCTTGCTGTTGTCATGTATATAGCCTGGCAGGATCCGGTCACATCGCTTCCTGCACGAGGGAAGACCTCATATGTGAAATTCTGGCATCTGCTTGTGTACAACGTTCCCAATAAGATTAGCGCCCGTTTTCTGGAAAACTGATTTCTTATGGGATCGTATCGAATCGCAAGTCCACCATTGGTATCCTGATGAACTTTCGTAAGGTGAGTCGTACAGAGCCATGGTAACCTCATGACTTGCCGTCAGAGGGGTAGGATTTGTCACTGCTAAGTTCCATGTAAGATCAGGTTGGTCAGTGTTAGCGGTAGTCCGGTCCGGTTTGCCTACAGCATTATATACATGAATTTAATGATTCATGCAGGCCAAGATAACGATCGTTCGGCGGCTGGCATTTACCGCTTTATGCGATTTCGGGCCTTCCTTCGCAGGCTTCCTATCTGGTTTCGGTGACTTGCAAGTTGAACGATGACGAGTGATGTTGAATGATACATGAGGATGAGTTCTCCGTGTACGCATACCTCTGGACTATGCATACTGTGCCAGGGCCATCAGCGCCTATTGATCAGGTTCAGCGAACGGAAATGGCCGTTCGAGTCGATCAAAAAAACATTATTGCGTATGGCCATGTTTTTCCGCTGGTGCAATGACGCCCATCGTGAAAATCAGTGTGGGACTTGAGCTAATCTTGTTCTGGGTTATCTGCATCACTGAAAGTGAGCGCTTTTCAATGCCAGCGCCGCGTCCAGACATTTTTAAGGCTGAGATCCAAGCTACGAGCATAGCTCTAGACAATTCACCAGCTGCAGGATAACAAACCCTCACCTGACGGAGAGAGGCCACGGGTGCGCTGGGAGATGCCCCAGAGTACGATATAAATCAAATGCAAGGTGATGATAGTCACAGTCGGTAACCTGCGTCTTGATAGTTCGGATGGTGACAGAGGGTGCAGTTGATGAGTTGCCGGATGCTCGTCTACTAGTATATGTCCGTTCGGGAATTCAGATTTCGAATGTGCAGTCCCTATCGAGATTCATATCCTCATGTCATTGGCACAGACGGAAAAGGTGCACAACGAAGCAATGTGACCATCGGCTCCACCGCCTGTGATATCCATGAAATGCAACCACGGACCGATGAACGTGTGGATCCAGACATGACGGCGCTGGAATGCGGCTCCCGTTGATCTCGAGTCATCCATCTGTACCTTTCCCAAAGGTTTTGGAGTCGGGCTGTGGGGATGCGATATGATCGAGATGTAAATACTACTAACGGCTTGGGTTTGCAATCAATGTGTTCACGTATAAATCGGATTTTGTTGCCGCAAAGTGGCAGTGAAGAAAAATTATGTGGTCCACGTGCGACGAGCTCGGTGGTAAAACGCAGCAACGCGCCAGGTGCCATCAACAAATTTGCGACCACAGCTTCTCTGGAAATGAACACTGGAATCCAAACAATTCGACGGCCATCCCGGCGAGATCTGCCGAGTCAGTATGCCTTTGTACTTGCTGAGTCTCCAATGGAGGCCGATAATGTGTAGAATTTGCATCGCCGGGAGGTACCAATTCGGTGGTGTAGCTGATATCAATGCATCACGGCCACACCCTCGTCCCGTCATAGTCGTTCTGCCGTTTTAGTAGCCGCCCTCTGATGGGCGAACGTATGTCCAGGTGTGTTCCATGATCAGCGGACTTGGGGAGCGCTATGCAGCCCCATGCCCCATATAATGCCTCTCCACTGCCAGCCATCCCTCGTGGCTCTCCCCCCCCCAGCGCCTTGTTATAACCCTGGCTAGGCTTACTATTGCTACTACTCTGCAGGACCCCCTTAGTAAGTCTCTGTCCCATTCACCCATGCACTGAGTTGTTCACGCCGCAGTCTCCCTTATAGTATCGTCATGGACTATTACCTTGCTGTGCCTGAATCTCTCGGTCTCAGGGCCTCTCCCTCTCAGTCTCCATTAACTTCTGGTTTCGGCCCATCTATTGCCTCGACACCCCTTATACCCATGAGTTTATCAGGTCAGCAATTGCCTGCGCTCCCTCCATCAGATCGTATCACTGCATCGGATTCATCTGCGCCACCCCTTACAGCCCACGGTTCCTCAGCATCCTATCAACAGTCACATTGGTCATATACTTCCGCTGATATTTCTTCGGACTTGTCTCATCCTCCCTCTGGCCCCACCCCCACTTTCAATCCAATCGCTATGGGTCTATCGTCATGCAACAAGCTCTCGCGCCCGCTCACCCCGAAGGAACAGGAGAACCTAGCTCATCTCGACAGACTCAGATACTTCCTCAGGACCGCACATCGTTACACCGACCCGTCGAGATCTAATTACTCGGACGACCCCCTCGCTGCCAGCGTCTCCCCATACGTATCGTGTCCGGATGCGAGGATGACTCGTTTCCGCATTTCACAGTCGGAGCACATAACATGCGTCTTGTGGTCTGGCAAGTATTTTATCACTGGCACCGACATCGTGCGCTCCCTTGTGTTTCGGTTTGAAGCATTCGGACGCCCCGTTCGGAATATCAAGAAATTCGAAGAGGGCATCTTCAGTGACCTACGAAACCTCAAACATGGCACGGACGCCACATTGGAAGAGCCGAAGGTGCGTGCTTTCCGCGTAACCTCAGTCTGCTCCTTGACCGCTCCCATAGTCACCGTTCTTGGACCTTCTCTACAAGTTTCAATGTATCCGTACACAAAAGAAACAAAAGGTCTTTTATTGGTAAGCAGACTCCCGCTTCACCGAGCGGTTCTCTCCTAACTTCCGGAGGACTCAGGTCTTCAGTACCCCATGACCGGCTCTTTCTCGACGCTCTCGAACGCGACCTCTCCCGTGACTCCACAACAGAGGTGGTGGGCGAGCCTGCGCTTTCATTTAAGTGGGATCGTAATCAAAGGTTGTACGAACAGTTCGGCAGCAAAGTACAACAAAAAGGATTTGGCAGCAATAATGTGGCGTCGGAAGTCCCAACCGCCACAGCCAATGAACCTTCAGCCGCACTATCTGGGATAGATGAAGCTCTCACAGGGGACCTGACCCATATCGACGGAATGGGGCTAAGTCGCCTTCCTTCTCCTATGCACGGGGCGAGCATTCCTCTCATGCCTATCACATTATTTGATGGCTCCCCGAGTTACAAGCAGCGTCGCAAGAAGCCTTCCCACAGGATCTCTCCAGGATTATCTCATACGATCAATCACAACGTGGGTGAATGCGAGTACTCTTTCAGCGACACCACTCGCGACGTCGGCTATGGGACCGGAGACCGCGGCATGTCAGCGGCCGACGTGTTTTCCTCCCAGGCTCGGAGGATTGGCACTCCAAGCAGTGCAGAAGCGGTGCGAACTATGAGAGGGGATTCCGCGATTGGGAGCAGTTCATCTAGGGCCATCGCTCCTGCATTATCACTGTCCGCAGACACCGGACAACTCTCTCGATTTAGTCAGCTCACTGCCAAAGACAACCCCCAGAGGGTGCCGCACCTGTCTCGTTCCCTGACAGATCCGACCCCTCCGCTGTTTGGATTCGATAATGAGACCCCCACGACGACAACGACGTCTAAGGTCTTTGTCTGCCCTTCATTCTCGTGCGGCCGACTCTTCAAACGAGCCGAACATCTGAGGCGACATTTGCGCACACATACCATGGAACGGCCTTACGAATGTGACAGGTGTAAGAAACGCTTCTCGAGATCTGATAACCTCCACCAGCACCTCCGCATTCATGCACGTGCGGATGGCCAAGACATGGGGTCTGGTGACGTCTGTGCGTTGAATGGCGATGCTGACGAGGAGATGGAAGATGGAGATCTCGAACGGTTAGCCCATGCGTTCCCAGCGCCGTATCCAGTCGACGCGGATGGACTTCCGGACTTGACCATGTACGAAGTGGAGGTGCCTGGACACGTGCAAGAAGTGCAGGGTGACGAGGAAGGGTTGCTCGTAGCCTCGGATGTCACTCCGGGGTTCCAGGCAAACCTTGCGCAGTCCGGAAGGCTCTACAACGCTGAGGACACGCGTGGTCTCATCGACATGCAGCCGGATGCTGGACTTGGCCACTTCGATTCCTTCTCTCCCTTCGATACCACTACTACTACCTGGACTAGCGTCTCCGGCTCACCTCTTACCGGCGACCCCACATCGCTGAATGGTGAATCAGTCAAGGCATCCTATTCTACACCCTCGCAAAGGCTAGAATTCGGGTCGCACAGGTCGGGTACTAGCTCGTCCGCAATTGGGCCGATCAGACGCCACAGAAGCATGACGCCATCCCTAATGAAGAGTCAAACGACAACACCTGTTCGTAGCTACCATCCGTACGCCGCATCCGCAAGCTCATGGTCTAGCCAGTCTAGTCCGTCAAGCTTGGGAACACATTCGCTGGATCTATCCTCCATTTCGGCAGTGACACTGAGCGGCGATGGTGGTTCGTACAACACGCAGCCACGATCCTTTTCCAGCTCGTCACTGAGTCAAGCTATGGAGCCCACTTCGAATTGTTTGGATACCGGTTCTGGGCTGGGGAATATTTACCCCGATTTATCCTTCTACGCCGGTGCGGAGGACGGTCTGGATGTGAACCAACCTTATTCCGCGCATCCGTTTGACGGGGGTTTCTTGATTTCGAACGCATAAGGGCATAAGGGTTCTTCTGACGCCGAACTTCACGTACATTATCACACGACGAGCTAATTCCTGCGGACCAGCTCGCTCAACGATGGATATCGATGACCGCCTGCCTCCCCCCCTCTTGTATCCAGAATTATTTATCCCGCGTCTGCCACTCAGAAGTCCTGTACGATACGCACCTTTGCGCTAATGCTCCCTTGCGTCCATTTGCCTTGCTGTCAACCATTTTTGTGCCGGTCACCTACAATATCCCCGGTCGGATTACACACCGTATACCCCTCACTTCTTGGTTTTGTCAGGTGTTTGTACAATGATGTATGGAGTCGATTGCGTTCTCTGGACGCTGTGATCATCGCAAACATAGATTAGTACAAAGCAACAATGGCTCTCTATTTAGCAATTCCCATCATAGATTATGGCATGGAGATAACAATAAAAAATCGAGGATGAAATGATCATCACTCTATAGATCTCATACTTGCGAGGTTCGGGATAAGCTTGCTGGTTCTGGGAACAAAACCTAACTGCGTCAGTTGAACCATGACCGTGATGTCCGGAAAACGAGGCCAGAAGTTCTCCGCACTGCTCGTAAGGATAAATATGGTGCAACTGGGCCCATGGCATCACTCGCAGATACCTTAGCGTGCCTGGCTTCTGGTGGGTGATCCGTGTTCTCCGCCTTAGAAGGTAAGCCAGTTGTGCGACCTCATACGGTAGCCATTGTATTTTTTGCATTTGTTGATCGATCCCCCTTGTATGGGCTCATGATTCAAAGATGACACAGTCGCATCCGAATGACGAGTCGATGGGGTAGGCACATGAGGGTGGAGTAAGCCCGAATGACATGGTGATCAGTAAGCATGTGTGGTGTGGGGAGACTGGATAGCCTGATCGGCGTCGACTGGTGGATGGATCGCGCTCTCCCGGGCGTCCCGGAAATGGACCGGATTTGCCAATATACATAGCCCAGGACTTGGGAATTGCCAGCCTACCAAATAGTGTACCCGCGTTATGGCAAAGGTCAGATGTGAAGGTGATCCCGGAGCCATGGATTGCACCCGCCAAGTTAGCCCCACTCCGGATGTAGTTCGTGGGCACAAGTTAGCATCCGAGGGCACATGTCATCGATCTGCTCCCCGAGGAGCAGTACAGATACTCCATGGACTCCGAGATCCATGATCACGTGACCAGCGTCATAGACGATATGGCAGTACTCCCTCCAAAACCATTTTGTGAGTTGGCAACTATGTTCTCGTCATTCTTAAAAACACTGGTGAGACACGCCCTTATCGCTAGTAGCTTGTTTTGAGTTGAACAAATCCGTCCTAGCCTCAAATATCCATTTTGTTAGTGAACATGTGTGCTAGCATCAACCGTTGGCAGTGTACTAACCACGGACTTAAACTATCGGGGGTATTCTGATTTGTACGACCAACCAACAGCCACAACCCATCGTCTCCTGCATCAGTCAGGGCACTCGCCCTACTGCGATCAGCCCTATCTGCACCATATCCACCAGAAAAACAAGACGCACCGCCCCTGCAGTTCAACCTGGAGGTCGTCGAACGCACTCCACCTACTCCGGATCAGATTAAGACCATCATGTCGTACCTCGAGCCCAAAGGATCTGAGAACGGCCCGTATTCCGCTTTCTTGTCGGCACATCCGAGCGCTCCTGGGCTTTCAGAACAGCCACAGACGGCGGCTGCGATGTCGAATCTGGTATCGCGGCACCCTGAAGCACTCAAGTGGCCCCTTGTCGTAGACTGGCACGGAGGAAAAGCGAGCGTCGGTGATGTGGATGGTGTGAAAAATATTTTGGAAGCCTTGAGAAAGCGACGGGATGGAGAAGTCAAAGACGATGTCAACCCGCCCAGCGGGTGGTTTTCCTAGACATTATTTATTACAAATATATTGGCCGCAAGTCAACGGTTTGTACGGAATTTCGGTGTACGATTGGTCCAAATGAGCAAACTACCATAAGGCTAATCGAGGGGACAGTCAAATGGTAAAGCTAAAGTCTCGCCAAGGAATTATATACCGCATAACGAAGGAAAAGCTAAGAGTCAATAGAAGTATATAGCATGGTATCCCCGCAAACTGATCCACCTAGAACGACCCCAATAATCACTGCAAACCGTGTTCGCCATCATCCTCAGACGACCCACCCTCGCAGTCAGACAGTGATCACGACACATTCGCAGCGGAGGCGTCATCGCGCTGCGTCAAAGTCAATATGCTGGGGAGAAGATGAAAAAATGACTGCCGCCCCCACCTCGGAGACCACTTACACCCTGATTAGGCGAGCTAGAACTACCCGTGGGCGTCGCCGACGTCGTGGCACCGTCTATTGACGAAGTGTCCACGCCCGTCGTCCCACTGGGCGACGATGATGACTTTGTAGGCGGCCCGGTATTGCCATTGGACTTCTTCGTCGTCCCTCCGACTGCTCCCCCGACCACAGCACCAATGACAACGACGATGATAACGACGACTGTAATGATGCCCTTTCGACTGCGCCAAAACCCTGTGCGAGGCTTCGAGGCATAAACACCACCTGATTCCACGAACGGTTCCTTCGAACCGTTCTCTGTGGCTGCAGGCATCAGAGGTGCTTGAGGCATTGGAGGAGGAGGGGCGACGGGAGGTGCGGGCGTTGTTGAGTCTGCCGGACCAGGCCGACTGCTGTCGAGTAGATCGACATTGTAACCTTCCTACAAAGCCAATCCATGCGCGTCGTTGGACAGAAAGACGCCAGTAAGTGGTAAGTACAAGTATAGAGGGAACTCGAGAAGAATTTGGGGCTGTGCACGTACCCGTAGCTGCGCCCGAGTTGCCTGGGGTGCATCGACGAGAAGGTTTTGGTCGTAGCTACTGCGCTGGTTGGGATTTGGAGTCTTTGACCTCGACATGGCTAGCGTGAATTAGGACTCCTCAAAGCACAGTGGTAGTGGTGGACGTGGGGAGAGATGTTCACATAGAAAATTAGTCGCCCAGACCGAGGACTGTCACGTTGAACAGCCTCGCCACCGCTGCTGCCGCCAAGGATGTGTGCCTGGTGGACCTGCCACATCAAGGAACCAACTATATTGGCAAGCTCGATATCACCCTCAAAATCATTATATTCCTAGGAATAAAGATTGGGCCAGCAAAGGGAAACTCATCAAACCCTCTTCCACCGCCTTGCCTATGAACAAGAAATCAAACTACATAGCTTCACTCGACTTTGGTACTCTCGATGTTCCAGTATTCCTGCGCATAGTCCTGGATCGCCCTATCAGAGCTGAACTTGCCCATCTGTTTCGTGTTTCCACAAGTCAACACAGATGCTTCTCAAACGTTTTATACGAAACGGGGTTCCACCCACCTTGGCCGTTGTCCTGATGCTTTTCTTGATCCATTCCGTACGGTCGTTGTAAGCATTGTCAATCATTTGTAGAGCTTCTATGTCTGAAAAAAGACGTTCATTAGTACCAACACTGCCTGCAGATCCCATCCAACTTACAGGAGTCGAAATCATCGGTGATAAGGTAGTAATCTAGCTGTCGGATGGTGTTTAGAAGGCTATGTGGGTTTGTTAACACCAGGAACAAACTATCGACTGCAGCTTTCGGGTTTGGGAACTCACGGCTCGTACACACCCTCATCTCCGAAAAGCCCTGATGAGATCTGGTCCAGTACTTTGGCCAAATTTCGTGACTTTTCTTCAACCGGAACAGGATGATGCTTGTGTTGGTAACGAAGTTCTTCCACGGCAGGCGTCAGGTGTCCAAAGAAAACTAGAGAGACAACGATCAGCGCTGAGCCAATCTGAAACTCGTTCCAGGTATGTACGTACAGACGTTCTCGCTGCCCACTTCCTCTGCGATCTCAATGTTTGCGCCATCTGAAAGGGTGGTTATGTCCGCAGTCGCAACAAAGTAAACAACCCATACACGTACCAACGGTGCCGAGAAGAAGACCCCCATTCAGGCAGAACTTCATGTTCGACGTCCCGGATGCCTCCGTACCAGCAGTCGAGATGTGCTGACTGATATCCGACGCGGGAATCAATATTTCTGCCATTGTTACAGAGTAGTCTGGAAGGAAAAAGACGTTGAGATAGTCCTTGGTATCGGGGTCAGCGTTGACGACACGAGCAACGTTGACGATGAGCCGAATCGTCTGCAAAGTGTAAACGTCCGTCTTGGACACGACTGCGGTACCGCGACGCGTACCAGTTTTGCAATTTCATCTGGTGGACAAGGAACATTCAGACGGCGCATAGGAAGGGAAGAACAGGCACATACACCCCGGTGCTGCCTTTCCAGCGAAGAAGACGTTTCGAGGCGTCAACTTTTTCCTTTCCGACGGTGACATGGCTTTCAGCGTTAGATAACGCTGGCAAAACTGTTAAGTACTATGATACTCGGTCCACGGCAATTTGACTTACATGCACTACACCAAGAATATTGAGTGTTTGACGCTAAAAAGACAAATCAGATATTCCCCCTGCTCGTCCTAACCAGGCGTACCTTGTACTCATGCAACCGCTGTAACACATTCGTGAGCCCTTCTGAACTCTGCACCACGACAAAACGAAACTTTACCTTGATTTGCACATCAAACATAGCCTTAGTGTTGACGTTCAAGCTGAGCGTAACCCGCATATAATGTGCCAGCCGCTCCTTGTTGGCTTGTTTCACAGCAGCCCACTCCTCGAGGAAATCCTCGTCTTCGACATACTTCAGTAGTTCCTCGAGCTGACCCAAATCTTTCAACCAGATATTCTTCGGTATATTTATCGTCTTGGTGATGAGGTCGGTAAGGTCTGGGTTGCACTGACCGTCGACATGAGACGGTGTCTAATACGTATGTAGCAATGGAACGACGCACCTGTGCGAGCCAACGACGCGGTGTGACTTTAAATGGTGAATTAGAACGATACGCGTGCTATGCATCAGGGCGAAGACTTACTGCCGTTAGTGACATTACCGAACCTTGCGGCCCGAGTCAGTCAGTCAATCAAGCCCTAAATAAATACGCGGCACAGACATACTTGCTCACTCCGAAGAAGTCCAGAAAGTCTTTGAAGATGGTTGTCCTCACTAACTCGGAATGAAGCTGCAGACACGATACGATGAGCGCCGTCATATGAGAAACACGCAGCATGACACTTGCCTCGGCCACGCCATTGATCTTGCGACTCCCTGCAGGATGGCATCACAATGCAGTGTGTGGTTCCTGGCGCGAAATATAACTCACCAATGCACGCAAGGTGTGCCATACGGACGTACTTGGGGTGGTTCTCTGTGCAGGAGTCAAATGACATGCCCTTCTAAAATAGATCATCTGTCTTTTTACCAACCTTCGATGAGAGACATCCTAGCAAGCCGATCGCGGTCTCCAGGGAACTTGTGCTCCACGGCTGTCCGAGAAGGTCAATGTCGAATCCTAGACACCGAAGGGATACATACATTGCAAGAAAATCCTGTCGGCGGAGAAAAGAAAGAAGTGATCAATAGGGTATATATTAGATCGCTTTACGGGAGAGCTTTACAGGTTCTGCAAAAAGGATCAATGAAAAAAGAACGACGGCGAGAACAAGAGCCTACGTACAATATCATAAATGATTTGCATATGCCTGGAATAAACGAGCGATCGAGCATGTCAGCACAGGAGATGGATAGTGGAGTGATGATAATCGCGCAATACCTGGGCAAAAGATGTTCCATCAAGGGGACTGGCCATTTTTCCAAGGCTTCCTATAAAGCGAGCAAACTTCTTCAAAAGAATCGGCGGCGCCATACTGATAGCTGACTTACCGGGAGGACTGTATGATTGGTGAAGAAGAAAGTGTTGGTAACGATATACCATGCCACATCCCATGGCAAGTCTTCTTCGTCGACCAATATGCGCATGAGCTCAGGGATAGCAAGCGTAGGATGAGTCTGCATTCCTATGAGAGAGAGAATTCGATGGTGCTACGGAGAACGTACATCATTCAACTGGATCGCGATATCTAGTAGAGTGCCATTGAGTGACTAGAGAATACGAGAGGAACGGAAAGCTTACAATCCGGTAGTTCAATCATTGGTTTTCCGAGGTTCCTAAAACGCCGCATGATGTCTGCAAGACTAGCTGCTGTCCAAAAGTACTGCTGTTTAAGGCGCAACTCCTTGCCGACTGATATGAAGTGCGTCAGTAAATCAACCCGAATGCCGCGAGGAATGACCCCTTACACGTCGTTTGGTCGTTAGGATATAAGACGGAGGTGATCGCAGCGGCACTATTCGAAGATTCGATGGCATGCTCGTAATCCCCGGCTTGAGAGGTATGTAGATCAGTGACCCCTTCATCGTCCAACACATCACTCACCGTTAAAACTTTGTAAATCGAAGCCCCGCTTTGGCTTGCTCGCCCATAAACGCAGATTGTTCGTGTTGCGAGTATCATAGCCCGGGATCGTTACGTCGTACGCGACCGCCAAGACTTCTTGACCACCATACCAGACACCCCGGGCAGTGCCATTAACGTACTTCTGAGCCTCTCCGTAAAACCGGATCTCATACTGCACGTCTGCACGAGAAACCTCCCACGGATTCAGGTGCTCTAACCACGGATCGGGAGCCTCGAGCTGTTGACCATCGGGCGAAATGAGCTGCTGGAAGATACCATACTTGTAACGCAGACCGTATCCCCACACCGGAAGTTCTTGGGTTGAAGATGAATCGAGGTAACATGCCGCGAGACGTCCAAGGCCACCGTTCCCTAAGCCTGCATCACGTTCCTGGTCGATGAGGTCCTCCAAGTTGAAACCTAGTCTGTCGATGGATTCCCTGTATTGATCTTTCAGACCAAGATTAAGGAGAGCATTGTCCAGAGTGCGTCCCATGAGGAACTCGAGGGAGAGGTAATACGCGCGTTTTCCGGCAACCCGGTTCATGTGCATTTGCGTCTCATTCCAGTTGAGCTACTCGAGAGGAAGAGAGAAAGTTGGACGACCCAGGGAGATCAACGGGAGCACTCACCAGCAGATTATCTCGAACCGACAATCCGGTTGCAAGATAAGCACCCAGGTCGCTGAGGTTGTGAGGCTGGCGAGCGAGGGACGTTTGGACATGGTTCACAAAGGACCGGGCGATGGAAGGTACGTCTGCAGGGTATGTGTGGTATCAGCATGGCCGTCGCTGGGATACGCAACCCCATACATACCTGTGTCTGGCTTTCTCAGATTGGCTCTCCATAGCTCCTCCTCGCCTCTCGGCCACTTGTCCTTCCCGTCTTCGTCTTGCTCTGGTATGTAGACTTGTGAAGCCCCATGATCAATCTCTGATCCTCGGCTAGATATGACGATCTACACACGTGTTAGGGTCCTCACATGTCGAGGACGACTCGGCTTTCCAATCGTCGCAGGATCTAGTACAGATGTCATACTATCCAGAGAATGTCGTGAATCACTGGAACGTCGGGTGGGGGGCCCAAGGGCGGCCAGTCACGACAAAAGAGGCCCTTTCAGTACGGAGAAAGGGGTCAATTCACTAAATACAGTACAGAGCAGGTCTAGACCTCCTCCAAATTCAACTGACAATCCAACACTCTCCGAATTATATATCACATGTGCCTGTACTAGTACGTGGCAAGGGCCCAACTCGGAAGCCATCACCTGAGGGAATGACCTGACAAATTATAAGCTGCATCAAAGCCTGAAGTACCTGGGTATTGTATGAAGCAGTTCATCTGTAAATTTAGCAACCACCTGACGGAACGTGGACAGGCAAAAGGAACACGAGGACAACTCCGTCCACGGCTCTTGTAAGATGTCTTTCAGTTCGCGCAATAGCCAACTCCTGTATGGCGAATGCAGAAAACGCGAAACTAGCCACTTTTGAAAGACAGCTTCACATTCTCGGCAGAGGATGAAACTCTCTCCAATTGGGCAAGTAAGGATGGCGACGAGATGTTGTTCAAGTTCTTCACGACCAACGATGACACGTCGCAAGTCCTCCGGCGAAAGAATGTGATGGCTGTTCCCTCCATCGCCTCCCCCTCCCCAGCGCTGCACCGAAAGGGCGTAAAATGCTGCTGGTAGTATTTCTGGAACATCCAGCTGTCGCGCTAAAGCGATCGCCTCTGCAAAAATAGTTGTGATGTAAACGCGGAAGGTCGTAGTCGAGGACTTACCAGCAGCATTTGGAAACGCGTTGCTGTTCATTTCTAGAAGATTCGTTGGCCATCTTGAAAGTAGCTGTTGCTTGGACCAGGAGCGCAGGTCAGAAATCTCGTATTTCGTGGATATTCGAAGCGCTCCGGCAATGATACCGAACGTGGCAGAGCGCGACTCGAAAGCACTTGTGGCAGGTTTATTGCATGAAAGGTTTCTTCAGGACATAACACACCCACCTGCGGTTATACATCCAGCTTAGGGTAACTGTCCAGTCTGCTACAGAGTCCCCTGAAAAGGCAACGAGCGGACACCCGTCAACGTTCTCTGCGTCCTGTGGCTGGGGGAGTTCCAGCATGTCTGCAAAGACAATGGAATACATTAACTTGTTGCGGTGAATCTTGAAGCATGTTTGTTCGACACGCAGGACGATGTTCCCATCCGAGAACCAAAATCGGTCGTGTTGCATATGTGAACCGTTGGCGGAGGGTGGCTCGTCAACGGGTCTTCTTCTGCGTTTCATGGGCGGCGGCAGGTCCAAACCGTACATGTTGGTGTCTTCCATTGTCCTCGGTCGTCGCACTGTAACAGTCCTACTAACCAAAGGGCACTGGCTGTATACTTGCAGAGACTCCCTGCACAGCAGGGTAATAACAACCCGGGGGGGAGACGCGTTGCGTGTTCGCATTTGATTACATAACGAGCTAATCCAAGTCTCCATCCCCAGCATCAGGCTCAGCCTCGCCGATATTGAGCTTCCGTTTTCTGCCAGGCAACTCTGTCCCTGCACCATACCCAACACCTGCCTTCTTCCGTAGAGCCTCCAGATCCTGCTCCGCCTCCTCAGCCCACTCCAACACAAGATGCCGACCGAGCAAGTGCGTATGTTTGAGTGCTGCAAATGCATTTTCGGCTTCTCGACGAGTGAGGAACTCGAGGAACGCGAACCCGCGAGTTCGTGAGTCAAATTTCTTTGGTAGCCGAACAGACTTGAGCTGTCCGTGTGCGCTGTGTGACAAATAAAAATGTAAGATAGACTTTATTCTAGAAGGAAAAGTAGCGCACCCGAACAACTCTCGGATATCCTTCTTCGACGCCTCGAATGGCACGTTTTTCACGATCATCTTGGTCGTCCTCGCCTTGGCAATTGCCTCACCCTTAGATTCTTCCTCTTCCTCTTTCCCGCGCCCCGCAAATTTCACATGGAGAGCATGCCCGTCCAGAACAAACCCTTGCATGCTTTTAAGTCCTTTCTTAGCACCCTCTGGTGTCTTGAAACCGACAAAACCGTATCCCATACTTAGCCGGGGCGCTGCTCCGCCAGGCACCGCGGGGCGTTTAGGATCCGGCTTCGTTTGAACGCGTGCAAACGAAAACTCCGGTAGAGCGCCGAACACTTGCCTGAGTCTCTCGGAGGTCGTGCTGAACGCAAGATTCTTTACGAACAGCGTCGTCCCAGCGGACAGGGGCGGCTCATCGTCTTTGCCAGCACCATCGGGCGTTTCCTGCTCCGCAATCGTAATTGGCTTGAATGCAGTGGAGGTAGATGCAGTCATGTCTTCATCTCCTGTTGCTTCTTGGAACATGCCTAGCGGACCCTTCTCCAAGTAGATGATAGAATTTCCGAGTCGCCTGTAGGCCACCGCTCGGAAAGCCTTCTTGGCTTCGTCCGCGTGCTCAAATTCCACTACTGACATTGTGCCCGCAGGGGGCACAAGAACACGGCTGAGCTTCCCATGAATTTCGAATAACTCGCGTATTTGCTCAGCCGTGGTACCGTAGGGTATGTTCTTGACGAGAATAATTGTATCCGACCGAACTCGCGAAGAAAATGTCGAGAGGATAACTCCCTGCGACTCTAGATATACTTTTGTCTCCTGAATGACGTGCGTCTCGGCCAAGGCAAGCTTCACGGCTGCATTATCAGACTCGGGATTCAAGATATCAGCCTTGGAGATGTTCAGCCGATCTGCGATAGACGAAGCCACGGCGTCACTCTGAAGCATGGCACGGGTTATATTAGACTACTAGACATCGATGGCGACATAATAAGGGGGCGACGAACATTCATGTATAACATACTCCAATTGAAGTCACGCCCCGCCGTAGCTTTCCGCTTGGCGTCGCGCTCCTCTTTCAACGATCTCTTCTTCCCATCTCCGTCTGTTACCTCGAATTTGGCTTTACGATCCACGGCAGGAAGGATGTGCAATAATCGACCCTGGAAAGACTTCTTGTCGAGTGCCTCGTAAGCAGCGACTGCAGAAGATGGTTGTTTAAACCTGACATATGCGAGACCTTTCGGTTGCTTTGAAACGGTATCGATCGGTATATGCACCTTGGGAAAGGAGGGAATAGAATCAGTGCAAAGCCGAGAAGGGGAGAGGGGACGAAATGCAAGTCAGATAAATTCTACTATCGGTTTATTCCCTGAGGATCATCTTTTTCCTTAAGAATCTGATGTCCCTATGCTAGTTATCATCACGGACGACATGCCCGGGAAAATAATCAAGCAACGAAATACTTACCTGCTCTATTTCACCAAACGATTGAAAGAGCTCCTGTAGTTCGGCGTCTGTGCATGAAAAAGCAAGGTTCCGAAGGAATAGACGACCAGTCTGGAGGATGGTCTCCGTAGTCGGATCTTTATCCTGCTGGGGAGCGGGATCTTCGATTTTGTTCTCGTCCTCATCTTCGTCTTGCTGAAAAACCGTTTCTGGTTCGGGTATGCGGTTTGTCATGCGTCGTTTCATCCACTCCAGATCCGACACTACATCATCAGCTGCGTCATTTTGCACCTCACTTACAGTCTTGTGTTTCTCTTTTTCATCGGGTGATAAAGTAGGATGAGAAGTGTTGATTTCATTTGCCCATGACGGTCCTTTCCGGGAACGCGATACCTCGAGGAACTCGTCCAATTGAGATTTTGCTTTCAACTGGTTTTGGTCTCGCTTCTCATTTTTCTTGGCCTTTGCGTCCTTGTGTGGGTTTTGCGCGCTGATTGGCTCGTCGGGCTCGATACGTCGCCGTTTGCTGGGTCTCGGCGCCGGTGCGTCCTTGGCACCCTGTTGTCTGTGTCAATGACACGCAAATAAGAACCAAGGCGATCTCACCTCAACTACTGCAACACTTATCCGTGTCGAATCGATAAACGTACGATCAAAGTAGTCTCTTGCTGTGGCAGCTTCCTTGTCAGATTTGAAACCTACGAAGCCGAACCGTCGGGTCGTCCCATCCGGTTTATGGGACACTCTGATATCTGTGATAGTCCCTGGCGGTGCTCCATTCTGCTCAAAATGTTTGCGTAGGCCTTCTGGTGTCAGGTACGGTGGAAGGTTCTTCACTATCAGACGGGACATTGTCGCGCTTGACCAGACGAAGGAAAAGCTGTAGCTGGGATCACACGCGGCCGGCAATCACCGGTGCGATGCCGGCGGCCTGCGTACTTAGTAGTAAGCTTGTCTTTGTCTTCACGCACTCAGTTAAGGACAAGCCCCCCTGATCCTGCGACTTTATCCTGAAGCAGTATGTATTCGCTTCCTCTATCTGGGGTCTCACCGTTTTCAACAACAAACCATATGACTGGGAAGGTAGTGTGTGGACCCACAAGCACTACTACAATGTTTTAGTCCAGCGACGACGTGGTTCTATTCTCATGACTGGCATCGAACATATGATCCCCGTGTGTCTAGCCTTCAGCTTCAGGTCTGGTTCTCGGCCCGAGGTTGTCCCCTTATTACATTTCAATGTTGATCAACGAACAAATGGTCCTTCCTTCGGTGTCTAAATGAAGGACTTTGTACCTATTTTGTCATTTTAGGGTCAGTGGTTCCGTCGGACACCGTATCAGAAGGAAATAGCGAAATCAATTCTCCATCCCCTTCTGAGACATCTATTGTCAATCACAAATCAATATTCAGATACGAAATCAATACTCTGGCTGGCGGTGTAAGGACGGCATGGGGGCTTCCCGTTAATTAATTTGCCTCTCAATGTGCACACGAGTCCTCTCACGGTACGTATAGTCCTCGGGGTTTTGATGACGCTACATATGGTCGAACAAAAGTTCCCAGAGTCGCTGGTGGGTGTATAAACTGCATACTTCCTGTCGTCCTATCATCCTGCCCATCCCCCCTTTTTGCTGTTGTGTATTCGTATTCTCCGTCATCCCTTTACTCTGCCCACCCCTCCCTTCGTTCCCCCTGCCAATGGACCTTGAATCTATCAGCTTTGGCAAAGCCCTGTGGGTTTGCATGAACATAAAAAACAATTTGGGCAACAAGACTATTAAAGTCCAAAATGCCACGGTTACGTGGTATGGAAATACCCCTAGTCCCTTGAATACTCGTTACTGAAAATTGAATCAGGGGAAAATTCTTCCGCGATAGCAAAGGCACTGAAATATCGGCAGATGAAATTAATGGACTTACCGTTGCTCCCGGTGCTGTGACTGCTGTTTCGGCCTGCAGACGTCCGAGTTCGTTCGCAGGGACAGAGGGTTCCATTGACCTCTTTGATAAGTCGACCCGAATTTGCACCATCGTTTGGGACTTGCCTTCCAAGTCCAAGGAAAATCGACTCGAAGTCCAGAATTCTCACAATAATTATGTGGTCACTCTTGGTCCCTGGGAAAGTTACGGGGCCATCGGTCACGTTAGTATCGATGTTCAACGTGCCTAGAGCCTAGTTTTCGATCACATCGGACAGCCTACATATCCTCGTCTCTGTCGCTCAAATGGTTATATCACAGGCTTTTGTACACCCTTAGAATGTTCTCTTGCCCTTGTATGGACTACGGTTGTTTGTATTCTTATACAGCGTGCCATCATGTATCCGCTTCTGGCGCAGTATGCTTGGACGTCAACGTGACTTGATATTGAATTTGGCATCTACTACTATGGTCATGAAGAGTAATAGTAAAGGGTGTAAGTTTGCCTGATCAGTTCCGAGTCCATGCCCGACCAGCGGCACGCACACGCTCCCGCGGAATCTTATCTTCAATTATTGTACTTATAACCGAAAGTGACATACGTAGATTATCTTGGGAAGTGACTAAGGATGAAGGGGTTTAGACTAATATGAAGAAACTGGCCAAGTGTACTACTACACTTAGCACGATTTGCAACCATCAATGGCCTCCTGCACCCCCTCAGACTCGCGGCATCATAATTAAATGACGTCAGGTAGCCCGTCCCACATGAAGTTATCACCTCCATTTCGAAGAAGTGCTGACGGCTTTGCGTTTCGAACTCAACATGTGGGTCTGCCCACAATAGGGACCGAAAATGTGATTTCCTGTAAGATTTAAGCTCTAGACAACTGCCAGCATTGTGATCGCCGCACTTGTAAATTATATAGCCCTCACCGAAAGATATGATCGATGACAGCAACGTTTGACAGGTGGTCTTGCGGGTGCAATTCTGTAGCACCGGCATCTCGGCACGCTCGCATTTTAGACACGAATTTAGAGAAGTTTTGTCTCCAAATCCTTAGTAAGGCATCCATTACTGATCTCACACGACTCATCGACTGAGAGCCTATTATCCTGATGCCGCCAATTCCGACTCTCGGCCAGGACAAAAACCCTCGAGGTATTCCAAAAGCACCGTTCATCGTACGTATACAATATCGTCGAGAAAGCATGCATTCGGTCATCACAATCGACAGGCAAATGTTGAAGAGTACATTGGGGGACCCGATGGTGATGTCGAGGGACCGTTGAAGGAGTTCCAAGATGCTATCGCGTATGTTCACACCCACAGTGTTCAGATGACAGTTCGGGATCAAACGCAGCATAGGAAATATCGTTATATGGATGGGAGTCTAACCCAAAGGCGCAAAGCCCTCGAGGACAAGATTCCGGACATAAGGAAGACGCTACAGATGGTCGAGTTCCTAAAACAGCGGCGGGTGGGAGCGTTTAGGCTAATATTTTGGATGTTGTATTGATCAGCAACGCTAGGACAGAAAGCAGAAAGCGGATGACCAAGAAGACGACCTGGAAGAGGATGACGAGAACTCAGACGGAGCGAAAAAGCCTCTGACCACGACGTTCGAACTAAACGACACTCTGTTCGCAGAGGCGCAACTGGACGATACAGACACGGTGTATCTCTGGCTTGGTGTACGTCACAGCAGATAACCTAAATGTCACATATGGTCTCTTAACGTGTATCGCATTTAGGCAAACGTTATGCTGTCCTATGAAATTCCTGAAGCGATCACGCTCCTTCGGTCGAAACTCGATGCCGCCGAAACGAGTTTGAAGACGGCGATTGAAGATTTGGAGTTCGTACGAGAACAGTTGACGGTGATGGAAGTTAACACCGCACGGATGTACAATTGGGACGTAAAACGAAGAAGAGAACGGCGGTCAGCTGAGGAGGCTGCCAAAAGGGAAAAGGAGTCGTAGTTCAATCTAATCTACGCAATGCTTGACTAACTGCGTAAGCACTTCATATAATGCGAGTGTGTGACCGTTTTCTATAGTACGGCCGGAGTCACCCACGGAGACAGTGCTGCAAGTCACTTCTGCACGTAATTAGAAGATTGGGTTGGGGGACACTGAGTGCGTGCTGGATGCCCCTGGGAAGGTCCCAGTAATCAGAATGAGCGATCTGCGCCCATTACCGACAACGGTACTAACGGAGTAGCGTGGTCCGTCAGGTTATGCAACCTTCTAAAACTCAGCTGCCCTGACTCGGACGAAGCACGATAGGTACGAGGAAGCCGCGCTTCTGAACGAATTATCCCAGGATTTTCGCCTCGAGGGAGAATATGCATGAGTTGGGGACCCTTCAAGGACCGACTGCTGTCGCACCCCGAAACTTTAAATCGTTTCACCGTGAACACACAGGTTACTGTTTATGATAACGAATATCTCACTCGACCCTCGCTGATTTGATTCCGTCCTAGATATGGACCCTTTGTCCGTAAAATTCAAGGATGCGCCGGAATAACTGCCGTTCGCCCGAAGCGCACCTACTGCATCTATCCCCATTGTATTGATAAAGTTGGTCACAACTGTCTAACCGTCGGATTCTATCGTGGGTAATTTAGGTGATTGTTCACAAGCTCCTTAGCCACCATGGGAATTCGACCCAGCCGTGCATATACTCCAGATGGCCGGGTGTGAATGCATGGTCTTCATGGTACTGCAACTTCTTTGCCGTACATGTGGGTTTGTCTGCCCACCGTGATGACCAGCTGACCTCTTGATTCACTCTACGTATACATTACATTTTCTGACAGGTATGTACTGTGTTACAGCCATAGGTTGTGAGTCGTCATCTGTGTCGGCAATCTAGTGTGCCGAGAACCCGGCTAGCATTGCCAAGAGTGAACTCCTGAGAATGACATGGTTAGCTTTCTCTAATAACAAGTCATCAGGAAATTAACACTTTACTATTTTTGACCTTTTTGTGACTTTTTGGGAAGGAACCTACTATCTGTACTTTTTTTTTTGACCATATACAGAATTTTGAAGAATGAAAAGAGAACAGAATCTATTGAGACAACTAAGTGATGATATATCTAAGCCGAGAAGACTAGAAAATGTCTGAAAATTCAGAGATATTGAGCCATTGGTGTGATGCACACTGTCTGAGAGAAAAATCACAATATCTCTTTGGAACTTCCATCAATTTGAATGTATGTGGTATCTACTGAAAGCTATGAATTAGGTGGTTTGAACAAGACCAAAATCAGCAAGAAAAGTGCAGCCATGCCTGCAGGACATGGGTAATGATAGTAGATTCCTTCCCAAAAAGTCACATTAGTCACAAAAAGTCAAAAATAGTAAAGTGTTATTTTCCTGATGAATGAGTGGTAGGCAAATGTAAGTAGGGATGATTGTTCTCCCTGGCAAATAGGTACTTGCATGGCCCAACCCTTGCCACAATTTGATGGTAACCCCACATCAGCAAAGTTACATTGAGTCTAATTGTGTCTGAATTGTCTCCAGACCTCCAGACACTACAGACACTTGCTTGACTAATGGGACAGTTTCACAATCATGCCAAGTGAGACCAGTGAGTCAATTGCTACCAAACAGAGACAACAGCTACCACCACCACCAGCACACATGATAATGGCAGCCACCACCACCATGTGTTGACCATTGCCATCATCACATGAGCATCAATGTCAACAGTGATCAGTGACAACCCCCACCAACATCAATGATCATGAAGATGACTAACACAACAACAGCTGCCAACACCAACAACGATCATTACCACCACCACCAATGTGACAATGGCCTCCCTGCCACCTTTATGCTATTTCTGTGTATTGTATTGCTTAGCACTAGTAGCTACATAGTAAATAAATTGATTTATGATCTTGCTTGGCATGATTTGAAATTGTCCCATTAGTCAAGCAAGCATCTGTGGTGTCAGTAGGTCTGAAGTGTCTGGATTGTCTACACCAGATGATTCAGACACAATTAGACTGGATGCAGCTTTGCTGATGCATTTTATAGCAACATGATGACATCACTGCTCAATTTACTAATGAACTCCCTACTAGGGGGTTCATCACACTGTAACCCCACAAAGGCAATTATTAGGGAAATTCACAGCATGTTTTTGTGTGGCTTTAAATTGATTTGGACATTTTCATGGGCACCAGTGCTATAAGAGCCAGTTCAGAAACTGGTGTTAGAGCATTTCTGACACATGTTGACTCACTTGAGTCTAACAGCACTTGCTGAGCTTTAGTCAGAGCCACAATCAATGCTGCAGTGATTGTTATCTCAATGTTCAGTGTATGTAACTAGTGTTGCTGCAGCTCAGGGAGCTGCCCTAAGCCAAGGGCCATACCACATCTATATTATTAAGTATTAAAATAATTATTGTGGATTTGGTATGTGGCAACACAAGGCTACATTTGGTAATAGTTGTCATAGTGACTAAGCTGCTTGTTGTTGAGCAGCTCAGCCTTCAGAGCTGAGCTGCAGCAACACTATATGTAACCAACATGTGCCCTCTTAATCCAGAACAACACTGTTGTAAGGAAAATTCAGGTAGCTGTGTAACATGAAGGGAACTTATCGAAGTCAGTATCAAGAAGGGAACCATAGGGGTAATGACAAGTTCAGCCTGTAGTGTGTCCCTCCATCCATTCATGCCTAGTCCATTTGACAAAGTCACCATGTTGGAGCATAACAGGGAATGTGGATTCCTCACACCTGTGTTGGACTTAGATGCTGACCATCCCTGGTCAGCCACATGGTGTGGAGGACATAAACAATGATGCTGCATGCTAGGGAAGGAAGTGCAGTGCTGGAGAACTTGAGAACACTGTTGAATGCTGTGTAGGCAAGTCTGGACTGATGACATAAGCACCTCATGGCTGCTGCATGCCAAAGCCCTCTGGGCACCCTGGATGCATTTGGAAAAGCATGTGATGTCCATCATTACAGAGACTTACAAATGAAAGCATTACAGGCAGTGATAATATGTGGGATTTGACCAATTTTCTAATATTATTAACAAAATTATGTGGAAGAGTCAGTGAGTTGTGTAAAATGATGTTTTGGAAAACTAAGTGGAGGAAAGGTGTTACAATGGTCTGTACAATGATGATTAGGGAAGTGCAGATGGTTGTGACTGAGTTTGGGTTGGAAGCTATGGTGCTTTTAGGTGTGGTGAAAGATGGTAAAGCTGTGGAGTGGTGTGAGATGATGCTATGTGATGGGATGAGAATGGCATATGAGCTGTCATCAATGATGTAGAGAAAGGGTGGGATGCATAATGAAGTAGAACTGCAGACCAGCCCCCCAAGTGTCCAGATGGCATTGATGATTCCCAGATGATAGAACATGATTATGGGCTGAGCATGATGATGGGGAACACTCATGAAGTCCAATGATAACCAACCATGATCATTTAGGGAGCATATTTGGGATCTGCAAGCTGATATGTAGTGCATGAGTGACTTTGTCAAATGGACTAGGCACAATAGTATGAAGATGTCACTATGGGCCAAATGTGTCATAACCCCTATGGCATGCCTGACTAGTAGCTCTCAATGTCCATGGGTTGCCCTAAGGTTGGACACTGGGACAGGAGGAGATAGGTTTTATAGGCATGTTGCAAGGTAGTGAAAAACTAGAGAACACAGGAGAGTATTTTATGGTCTATATACCTCTAGGCTAGCAGAGTATGAACTCTAAAGTGTTCAGGGCTAGTCAATGTGAGACAAAGGCCACTGGTTCAGAAGAACCAGGAGTGGGTGAAAATGGAACAGAAAGAGTAGGAACAGAAATGTGCAGCATGTACAGTAAGTATGAATCAAGAGAAATATGGATGAATAGCATAAAGGACAGAAGGAAAAACATACAAGCAAGAATTGGAAATTGTACAACCCTTCAGGCTGTGGAATGACTAACATCCCATGTGGCAGCCCAGACCATGATGGCAATGAAGGTGATGATGATGATGCCAAGGAAACCAGGGACCTGGCAGTTGAACAGTTGGAGACAATGCCAAAAGTGGCAGAGGGCACAATGCAGGCATAACATTACCCCCCTTCAGAGGCCTCAGACCCTTGATGGACAAGTGACACCTCTGTTGTGTTGGGATTGTCAAACATGGTGAACATTTGTGTTGACAACAATATGATGAGGTGGGGGAGCTGGAGTGATGGGGATGGGGGTCATGGAAGAGGTATCAATGGGATGTCCTGTTGAGGTGGCAATGATGCCAGCAAATGTGGGTGCATTGGGGTTTAAAGAAGATGGGGTGGTGGTGGATGGCTGGTAAGGTGGCTTATGACACACAACCAGTGGCCAAGATGTTTACAGGCATAGCATGAATAGATGCAGAGTGGGTGACAGAAATCAATTGGCTCCTTCCCAGTGAGCTTGAAGCAAAGACAATCAGTGCATTCAACAGCATGGAACAGCTTATTTGGGAGGGTGTTGAGCATGTGGGATGCATTATATAGTTGGTGCTTGGAGTAAGCCAGGCAGCATTGTCAGGGAAATGCTTCAAATCATCATAGTGCACATGGGTAGGAGTGATGTCACTCAGAATGGTCACAACTTTCTTGAAGATCCAATCATTTTCTGACACTTCAGGAGTGGGCTCCAGGGGCCAAGTCCAACCCTGAGCTTGATTGGGGGTTGTAGGAATGGCCTTCTTGAGTTTCTCACAGATCCTGAGAAGTGGAGAGGCAGTAAACTGCCAGATCTGATAGTTGGAGAAGTGGTGGTATGTGATGGCAGTGAGTATGGAGGAGATATCCATGGTGGCTTTCATGGTAATTGTTATGCTGATGACTCATATTGCATCATGAATTGAGTGCAATGCAGCACAAGCATGTGACTGTGCAAGAAGAGATGTGTAATTTAACTTCACTAGCAGTGGGACACTAGCCTTGGCCAACCAAAGTCATACTGTCAAGTCCTTGTGGGTACAGTGAGCAGAGCTAAGGGTGGTTGCAAAGTAGATTTTGAATGAAGAGCCAGTATGATACATGCAAGGC